AAATAATACAATAATAAATAATTTAAGAATAAACACTGTGTTTCCTGTGCTCACAACTGTAAACCTACTTTTGCCCTACCCTGTAGGATGAACTGAAGTCCATACTTTTATTCCAAGGTGACCCAGTTTTAAAGGTAATTTCCAAAAAATGGAAATCACCACTGAATGTCCACACTATGTAGTGGCTTCCTGATTCTTAAAAGAAATGAAGTAACTTTGTAATCAATGGCGCTCCTCTGGAAATAAGGGCTTTATAATAAATAATATGACTTTAAAATCCAAGTGTGGGAATCTTATAGCTTAACATTTTATTTATAAATTGGTTATTAGTAAAGATGGCAAGGTAGAGTTTGATCACTAGTAAAGCTGTTTTGTTGTTGCCTGGGGAATATGATATTATGACATATGATATTATGGTTTGTTCTTTGTAGATAATCTACCCTAAGAACATTGGGCAGAAAAAAGGCTGCCCTGGAATAGGAAATGTGCTCCCCTCTTCTTTCTCCCCCCTTCCCCTTCAGGAAGGAGCTGAAATTTAGGACACAGAATAAGTGGCCAACGGATAAAAGGCTTAATTCCACAATTCAGATTGGTATCAATTTATTCTAATTATTTTCCCCAGGACTGTCCAATTTAAGATTAAATTTTATACCGGAGCATATTAGAGATCTGGTAATTTTGCTATTTCAGTTGAACCTTTTAATCAGCTTTAATGCAGTCCTAGATAAAGTAAAAACTTAATCCTATCTCTCTTTTAGGGCTTTCATAGTTTGCTATCCTCAAAGCTTTCTAGAAAAAGCAGCAATGAAGCATTACTGCTTCTTATTTTTTAAAAATATATTTTATTAATTTTTTATAGAGAGAAAGAGAGGGATAGAAAGTTAGAAACATCAATGAGAGAGAATCATTGATCAGCTGCCTCTTGCTCACCCCCTACTGGAGATGTGCCCGCAACCAAGGTACATGCCCTTGACCGGAATCGAACCTGGGACCTTTCAGTCCACAGGCCGACGCTCTATCCACTGAGCCAAACCGGTTTTGGCGCATTACTGCTTCTTAAACACTCTGCTTTTGTTACATTTTCTTCAGTAAATCCCTTTTAGTCTTTTGTTTTTACTGCATGATTTGGACCAAGAAATAAATAAAAGTTGTACTCAAATGAAATTTTATTATTAATTAAGCTTTGGAAACATCCCAAACCTCAGAATATATTTTTCCCCTACGTTTTTCTTTTCATTCTAGAAAGTAGGTCAGTAGAAATACCGCCGGTTAATTGGTTTAATTAGAAATGGAGAATTGGAGGAGGAACTCAATTGGAAGTGTAGATTTAAATAAGAAGAAATATACTGGGATTAATATCACAAGTGTTTGAATTTAAATAAGATGCATTAAGAATAGTTTATCATTTCTTAAAAGATTTTAATAACAAGAGAGGATTGTAATGTATTAATACAGATGGGGAAATTTTGCCATGAAATATAATACTTGACAAGGAAATCATTTTAGAACTGTGTTTCTTAAACAGTACGCCTAAGAATTTTATTCTGCGCAACCTTAATAGATATGTGGTGGGTGGAGGAGTATTCTCTGCCCAAGTAAGTTTGAGAAATATTAAGTTGAACAAATTTGAAAAGTTGCCTGCAGGACTTACCAGAGCTTTCAACGATTTCTGAATTTCTCTGAGAGAGTACATAGAGGGTACCCTGCTTAGCCAATTTATTTATTTCTGCATTACCGAGTAACATTTTTCAGGAAAATGTTCTGAGTATAATAGACACGTGACCTGTTTTAGGAATTTATACTTCAGATGTGTACGTCCTGATGTGTACTATGGAGGCATTATATCCAACTCTGTGCTTCCTTCTGTTAGCTGAAGTGTGATTTCCAAATGTGAGTGTATATCAGAAATAGCTGGGGAGCGTTTCTAAAAGATTAAGGTTTCTGGGCCCTGATCCTGACCCTGGAGATCCTGATTGAGTAGAGACGTCCCTGTGCCCAGGATCTGTGTTTATTACAGATGTCCACGTGGCCCAGCCGCAGGCAGCACTGGTCCTACAGTGGCCGCTTTGGAACTGCTGAGCTCAAAGAGCGCATGTTTTATTTTATTTATTTAAAAAATATATCTTATTGATTTTTTATACAGAGGAAGGGAGAGGGATAGAGTTGGAAACATCTATGAGAGAGAAACATTGATCAGCTGCCTCCTGCACACCCCCTTCTGGGGATGTGCCTGCAACCAAAGTGCATGCTCTTGACCAGAATCGAACCTGAGACACTTCAGTCCGCAGGCCGACGCGCTATCCAGAGCCAAACCAGTTTCGGTAAAAGTGCGCATGTTGTAGATCGGCGATGGGATTCGGGTGCAGTGAGTTTGTAGCCATAGAACACGTGGGCCAACCATCCCCGCGTGGAGAGGATGCAGCAGGACCTCCAGTGACCCTGTCTGGCGATGTGCTGGCTATAACCTAATGGAACACAGTCGCTACTATCCTTTCGGAAAAGCAGAATATTTCTAAGGGAGCTTTTGGTCACCGTCCCAGGGAGGGAGTACTGTAAATAAGATTACCATTTGTGTTTACTTAGTTTGAGGCGCTCCCTTTTGGATACTATATTATTTATACTTTAGACATCTTTTTTTAAATTGATTTTAGAGAGAGGGAAAAGAAGATAGAAACATCGATTAGAGAGAAACATCTGTCAGCTGCCTCCTGTACACCCCTACTGGGGATGGAGCCAGCAACCTAGGCATGCACCCTGACCGACCGGGAATTGAACCAGTGACCTCTTGGTTCATGAGTCAGCGCTCAACCACTGAGCCACCCTGGCTGGGCATTTATACTTTATTTTATTATTATTTTTAAAAATATATTTTATTGATTTTTTTTACAGAGAGAAAGGGAAAGAGATAGCTAGAAACATCAATGAGAGAGAAACATCTACCAGCTGCCTCTTGCACACCCCCTACCGGGGATGTGCCTGCAACCAAGGTACATGCCCTTGACCAGAATCGAACCCGGGACCTTTCAGTCCACAGACCGACGCTCTACCACTGAGCCAAACCGGTTTCGGCCATACTTTAAAAGGAAATACTGGTTTATGTTTATTCATGGTATCATCTAAGAGTATATTCTCTCCCACCCTCCTGCTGATAGCAAAGAATATGTTGTCTCCCACCCTCCTACTGATTACAGATGGACATTTAACCTTAAGAAGCAAATAGGCCAAGATTCTGTCTCATTTTATGCTTTGATTTATGTGATCACTGATAATAGCTTTTCTATTAAAACTATGTGGTTGTAACTCAGTTCTGTTAAAACAGTTCTCTATTCCTGGAAATTCTCTTTTGCCTCTCACAAATTTAGGAACAATGTACATGTAATGGTATTAAATAAGAAACACTATAAATATTGCTAATGGTTTGAGAGGCAATGAGTCTTAACATATCTTTGTTGACTAGTGTTATATTAGCAATGGATGAAATATTAAACACACTCCTTAAAAGTAGGAAATACCCACCACTTTTAAAATTATCTCACAAGGCCTTGCCAATGCAATGAGACATGAAACAGAAATAAAAAGACCTTCATTGAAAGTTGGAGAGAAAATTTTCATTACTTGGAAATAAATTTGTATATATTGAAGATCTGAGAGAAGTTAATAAATAAAATTAATATGTTTAATAAGCTGATTAGAAGTCAGAGATATCCAAAACCCACATTTCTTTTGCATACAAACATAGTTTGATATATACAGTTTTGTTTCTTTGTATTTTATTGGTTAGTGAGATAACAAATAGAAAAATTGTTTGCAATGTCAAGTGAGAGAATTAGGAGAGAGGGCAGTGCCATAAAAGGGAGAAAAACATTGCAAGGAGGGCATAGTAGCCGTGGTAAATGTCAGAGAGGCATCCGTCACAGTGACTCCTCAGATATCGCTAATGGTCTGGAGCAGTGGTCAGCAAACTCATGAGTCAACAGAGCCCAATATCAACAGTACAACGATTGAAATTTCTTTTGAGAGCCAAATTTTTAAAACTTAAACTTCTTCTAACGCCACTTGTTCAAAATAGACTCTCACCCAGGCCGTGGTATTTTGTGGAAGAGCCACACTTGAGGGGCCAAAGAGCCACATGTGGCTCTCAAGCTGCAGTTTGCTGACCACAGGTCTGGAGTCACTGGCTTCTTTGTTGAACCGGGCAGGTGACATGGAGGAGGTGAAAGCCAGACCAGAGTGACTGAAGAAGGAATGGCATGCAAGAGCCAAGACGTTTATTTGACTTTGTAATGGAAGAAAGGAGTTTTAGAATTTTGTTGTTGTCGTTACTATTTTGTCATTTTGCTTCTTTTGGGCGCCCTTTGTTATCTGTCCTGGAGGCTGAAAATACCTCAAAGGCGGCTCTGCCTCTGTGAGCCCTGCAGTGCATGGCTGTTACGTTTAATTCATGATTGTGAATGAAAGTTTTAGGGCAGTCGTTACTGGGCAAGATGTAGGATGAATTTCAGGGAGTTCTCATTTATTCTTCTAAGCAGCTCTATCTTTTTAAAAAATATATATTTTATTGATTTTTTTGTAGAGAGGAAGGGAGAGGGATAGAGAGTTAGAAACATCAATGAGAGAGAAATATCAATCAGCTGTCTCCTGCGCACTTCCTATTGGGGATGTGCCCACAACCCATGTATATGCCCTTGACCGGAATTGAACCTGGGACCTTTCAGTCCGCAGGTCTATCCACTGAGCCAAACTGGTTAGGACTAAGCAGCCCTAGCTATGAGACACGCTGTCCCTGTGCTGCTCCTCTCTCTGTCTCTCATCTCACCGCCGTTATTCACGCCTGATGGGGCTTTTTGTTTTCTAGCTGGGAACCCTCCGTCGTGGCACCTCATGATGCTTCTCCTGCGGAGAGTGTGATGAGGAGCGGCGTTCGGCTGTGGAGTTCTCGGAAGCAGAGGCGTTGCTGGGGACGCGGAGCCCAGCGCTGACCACTGGAGAGCCCCCACACGATGAACAAACTGAACTTCCACAACAACAGAGTCATGCAGGACCGCCGGAGCGTGTGCATTTTCCTTCCCAACGACGAGTCTCTGAACATCATCATAAATGTGAGTCGGTCCCACCTTAGAAACGTTTAAATAATTGTGTTCCCACCAGTGACCGCATTCTAGTTATGACTTGGGTAGTTGAGGGGTGAAGCTATCACAGAATGAGACCATTAATAATCTGGCGGGTTGGGTGCTAAAGTAGTCCACACAGGTATGAACTCTGAATTATGGGTGAAGTGCAGCTGACTTCAATATTCTCTCACTTGGGGTAAAATTAGAGAATTCTGGCTACTATATTCTAGCAAAACCAACACTGGTATTTTTAAACATTTTATAGAAATATAATTTTTATTGATATATTTGAGGTCTGGTGCACGAAATTCGTGCATGGGGGGCAGGAGGTCCCTCAGTCCGGCCTGCACCCACTTGCAATCCAGGACTGCTGGCTCCTCATGCTCACCTATCTGCCTGCCTGATTGCCCCTAACTGCCTCCGCCTCAGCCCCCACTGCTGCGGCTTCGTCCGGAAGGATGTCTGGAAGGTCGTTCGTCAATCCGGTCTAATTAGCATATTGCGCTTTTATTATTATAAAAGATAATATGAATTTTCTTTTTAAATACTTTTGAGTTGTACCTACACACATGAAATAGTAATAAATTGCTTGCTTTTTAATGTGTTTTGGTGAATGTTTTAATAGCAGCCTAAGTCTAGCCAATTTCATGAATAGGTTGTGCTTATGAACATTAAATTGTTGCTTGTGCTTCATGAATCAAAGTTAACTCTCTTTAGTTCACTGGGAGATTAAGGAATATGACTTTTTTTTAATTTTAAAAATTGAGTCATAATTTACATGCAACAAAGTATAGGAATCTTGAGCATGCAGCTCAATGAATTTTTATAAGTGTATACATCCTTGTAATCATCATCCAACTTAGATATAGTACAGTTCCAGCAGCCCAGAAAGATCTTTTGTGACTCTTCCTAATCAATAATCTCTACCCATAGGGTAACAACTGTTCCCACCTCTATCACAATAAAGTAATTCTGCTTGTTTTTGAACTCCATGCCACAGAAATGTGCTACTAGAGAGGCCTGGTACACGAATTCATGCACGGGTGAGGTCCCTCGGCCTGGCTGGTGACTGAGGCCTTCCAGGGGGCCAGCTGGCAGAGGGAAGGGAACCTGGGAGGTAGGCCAGTAGGCCCCCCAATCTTGGCTGATCGAGGGCTGGCCATAGGGAGGGGCCTTGGGAGTGCACTGACTATCATGGGGAAGCTCTTGTGTTGAGCGTCTGCCCCCTGGTGGTTAGTGCACGTCATAGCAACTGGTCAACCAGTTCCAGTTGTTTGGTCATACCGGTTGCTTAGACTTTTATATAGATGTACTCTTTTATATCTGGTTTCTTTCACTCAACATTTGACCTGTAAAATTAATCTATTTCATTGCAAGTAATAGTAATTCTTTCTTTTTCGTTGTTGTATAATATTCTGTTGTGTGAATATGCTAATATCTTTAACTATTGTTGATGGGTATTGGATTATTTTAAATTTAGGACTCTTATGAATAAAAATGTTACGAACATTTTATGTGTATGCACATATGTACACATTTCTGGGCTTATACCCAAGAGTGGAATCGTGGATCCCAGGGTATACATATGTTTAGCTTTGGTAGAGACTGCCAGTTTTATGGTAATCAATAGCATGCCTAGCATTTTTCATTCCCTCTCCTTATTAATTGTTTTTTTTACAATTTCATTAATTGTATTCTACTGGAATTAGAATACAATTTCACAAATACAATTTCATTAATTGTATTCTAATGGAATTAAGGGGGGAAATTGCCTTAGCATATGCCTTGAATTAGTTTGGGTTTTTGTTGTTGTTGTTTGTTTGTTTGTTTTTGCTTTATGCCACTATATTTTAACCCAATTACTGTATAAAAGAATATTTCTAAATGTTATACTGAATGCATATGGCATTTAAATAGCCTCACTAAGCAGTTTAGATGGGAAAAGGTTCTTGCTTATTAACTATTTTGGCTTTATCCTGACAATCACTACAGTTTCTTGATTTACTAATGCAACCTTGTTTTTGCTTATAAGGGTTGTCTGAAAATCAAACCTGCCTATTGAGTTAACTTTATCATCTGTTGGGCAGAATTTGTACTGATGAGGTACTCAGCGTACCTGAGCTGTTTTAGATGTGTGAAATGACAAACTATTATTTTTGCAGCATTTGGTTTTTAAAACCTAATAAAAATTGGCAATATATATTTCTATTTCACTGTGGGCAATGGCAAAATATATTACAATGTAATTTACTTATATATGTGAGTATGCTATTTCAGTTCCTTTACACAGTTATATAAAAATGTACCCACTAAATTTTAAAAATATGCATACTCATATAGCATAAACACTTAAGATATTTCTCTCAATTCCATTCCTATCGTTTTACCTGGTGGAATATGTATACATGAGTTTATGTGTTTATATACACATATACAGGAGATGGAACAAAACTTCACTGATCTCAGTTAAGTGGAAGGAAGACTAATCTGACTTCACAAGGAATACTAAAAGATGACTATAATTTTCTAGGAAATTAATTTGTACTAAAATCTCAGGTGAGGAAGATAATTGTAGAAAACAGATTAGAAGATAGTCAATCTGTTAATTGTTATACATCAATGGCTTTAAAATTTTAATGTACATCAGAATTATTTGGTGAGCTTGTTAAATATTCAGACCACTAGGGGCCCAGTGCATGAATTGGTGCACCTTCAAGGGAACTGTGGGCCTCGAGGCTGCAGTGGGCACAGGAGCAGGTCTCAGCCCATCCTTTGTGTCCTCGTCTGGCCCCTCCTGCCCTGGTCCCCTGTCTGCCGGCGGCCCTGCTCCCGCCACTGCCACTTCCACGCGCTGATAGCGCCAGCCCACTTGCAGCCACTGATGGCACAGCACAGAGCAATTGGGGCCAGCACCAGCAGCAGGTGCGAGTGAGTCCGGCGCCATCCGTGGGTGTGTATGGGCTCAATCCCCAGGAGGGGGTGTGCAGGAGGCTGCCAATCAGTGATTCTCTCTCATCATTGATGTTTCTCTCTCTCCATCTCCCTTCCAATAAAAACATATTAAAAAGAAAAATAAAGATGGAACCTGCATAAAGGACGTTGCCCAGGCACTCTGAGCTCTTTGCTGTTTCAGTTGGGGCGCCTTGTTAATGAAACTCACAGAGAGAGTCTGAGCTCTGTTAGGCCTGTTCTTCCAGGGGGTGTAGATTCCTTTGCCATGTCCATATTCCTCTCCATCAAGCCATTGGACCCCAGGAGGGAGGGCTGGGCTACGGAGTGTGGCAACTCTTCACTGCCAGCAACCCCATTCAAGGTTGCCAGAAAGTAGCAGTTGATGTCTTAGAGTTGTGGTATCACAAATTAACTGTAGCAAAATCTATTTCATGAATGGTCTACTTTTTCATCATTTGTAAACAGTGTTTTACTCAGACAGTTTACTCCCTGACAGGCATAGTTGATAGGATGTTATCTTCTGCAGGTGGGGTAAGTTTAGTGTCTTGATGATTCCGAATTCTCCATGAGTTGAACTGATAAGGGGCTGTTTTAAATGATTTTAACCAGCAGATAAATATTAAATGTGGCAACTTGGGAAATAAAATCATGCCAAATGTAAGGACCACAAAAGTTTTGAGTGGTGTAAATTGTGACCAAGAGCTTGTACCTCTTCGCTAAGACCAGAGTGAAGAGCTTTTTTGGTTTCTTTTCCAGAACATGTTTAAAACATTTCTGCCCAAAACAAACCATTGATGTTTAGGATCAAATACTGTTTTTATTAAAAACTTCCAATGGGCCGAAACCAGTTTTGCTCAGTGGATAGAGCATTGGTCCGCGGACTGAAAGATCCCGGGTTTGATTCCGGTCAAGGGCATGTACCTTGGTTGTGGGCACATCCCCAGTAGGGGGTGTGCAAGAGGCAGCTGATTGATGTTTCTCTCTCATCGATGTTTTTAACTCTCTATCCTTCTCTCTTCCTTTCTGTAAAAAATCAATAATATATATATATATATATATATATATTTTTTTTAAACTTCCAATGGTCGAGTATACCTTTAGATACTGCCTTAATTCTTACTACCGCATACTCTATAGCACTTTTTTAAAGTTTCCATTGCTCCTGAAAATTAAATAATGAAAAATTTCACAACAGCTAATGTGTTGTCATAGAAGACTCATACCAAGCCAAGCTTCCTCTCACGGCAGGTGAGACTACAGAGCACAGCATTGCTAATTGCAATTTTTAAACAAGAACACTGTGCTTACCTGCTAGTTATTAAAGAGCTTTATCAGCAGGCTCCAAGTGCTTGATTTTAACCTGCAGAACAAAAGTGATAATAATTATAGGGGAAGTACGGAGGAAATGTACAGCATTATTTGAACAGCAGTTACACAATACAGCCTAGGTTATGTTCACGAACAGTTTGTGGCTTAAGGATTGTTCTGTGAACTTTTCATCACATTTTTTATCCTAAGTGCTGTGTCTGACATTTTTAGCTACAGTCAAAACTAAGAATTGGAGGTGCCCTACACTGTATGACATTCTGAGTCTCAAATGTGTAGCATATACTTCAGTTTTATGTAACAACTGATATTTTTTCCTTTACCAGTCTGCTTATTGAAGCTTATTTTTAAAGTGGAATTATGGTGCTATAGAACTTAAAATCCAAAGTCCTTTTAATGAATGAAGAGGATGATGGTTTCCTACTGGTACATGTGTCCTCCCAGTAGTGTTGGGTTTGCATTCATACATTTTCCCATTTACTACATGGTCTGCCTGCTCAGTGGTCAGAGAGCAGTCTGGAATCACGGGACAGAGCTAAAGGAGCCCACAGGGAAATCACACGCCTGGCTTTTATTCATCAAGTATTTATGGAGAGCCTACGGTATGTCCTGGATATAAATAGGACACCTTTCCTAAGCCCCAAATTAGTCTCTGGCCTTAACATACAGACCTTTTGCACTTTCCAGGGATAAGGTATTTTAGATTAATTGTAATAACTGTGGGAAAGAGTAGTGCGCCTAACTTTCCTTACCCCATTGGTCATTGTCACCATTCTGAACTGTTTGGCTGTCAGTTATTGGGGAACTTCAGCATGTTTTTATTCTCTGAATCTGAGTTACATATTAAGGTAATGATAAAAAGTCATTAATTCAGAATTAAACAATTTAGAATTTATAGTAATTATCATTGAAGACAGAATTTGCAAGTTGTAGTACAAACGAGAAGTGAAGTGCCACCCGTAATGGAAATAGCTGAAATGATAAACTGTCACGTTGCACATGTTTTAACATACACATATAATACTATTACAGTACACAGATTAGCAGAGTTGTGAATTGCTGCCTTTACCACTTGACCTTAAGCTTTCTGGGTCTTATTTTTTTTACTTCTATAAAATGAAGTAATGACCAATAGAGTCTCTTAAAGTCAATTCCAACTCTAATGAGCTTCAATCATTCTGAATTCAACCAGATATACTCAGCACAATTTCTATCTCCCAAAAACACTTCATTAAATATTTGAGAAGTATTAAAACTATATCTTGTAAGGATTGTTTTATCATTCAACATGTGACTTTTCAGAATAATTTACTCCCAGGGTTTCAGATTAATGTGGTTTTATGATGTTTAATTTATAGTAGAATTCAGAAAGGGAGCCTGATTTAGGTACCTAAAAGTGTGAGACAATAAAATGATTAATTAAGATAAATAAGAGCTAGGCATTCATGTATTGTATAATATATGAATATTTTGCTTAGGCTGTCATGAGGAAAACTTTCCTTATAAAGATACTTGCTAAATTTGATCATCTGAGTAGGCTGTTTTGGGTTCCTTCCGAAATACTTATCTCATACCATAATGGGTTTAGACTAAGGCCTTGCCAATGTATCATGAAACTTATGAGTTTCCTACAGATTGCATTGGGACTTTTATTATCATGTTGTAAAAATTTGTATTGTGATAATCATTATTGAAACTCAGCCATGGATTAAAGTGGACGATTTTTTATATATCTATAATAATAAAAGCATAACATGCTAATTAGACCAGATATCCTTCCAGACAAAATCAGGACTGCGAGGGAAGCCTAGTTCCCAGGTGCCTGCCAGTGGCCAGAGAGAAGCCAGTGCCGACAGCTGGGGGAAGGCCTACTCTTAGACGATTTTTATACATCGGGCCTCTAAAAAAAAAAAAAAAAAAAAAATATATATATATATATATATATATATATATATATATATATGTGTGTGTGTGTGTGTGTGTGTGTGTGTGTGTGTGTATTTTTTAATTTTTTTTTATTTCAGAGAGGAAAGAAGAGGAAGAGAGAGGTAGAAACATCAATGATGAGAGGGAATCATTAATTGGCTGCCTCTTGCACACTCCCTGCTGGGAATCAAGCACACAACCTAGGCAGGTGCCCTTGACCAGAATCAAACCTGGGACCCTTCAGTCTGCAAGCCAATGTGGTAACCACTGAACCAAACTGGCTAGGGCAAAGTAGACACTTTCAATAAACTAACAGTTCTTTTGCTAATGTCAGCTTATCCTTTCAAGGAATCTATTTAGGATGCATTAAATTGCCCAATTGTGGTTCACTGTATGGATGCCAATGAATTATTATCTCAAGTTGTATTTTTCCCCCCGTAGGTTAAAATTCTGTGTCACCAGTTGCTGGTCCAGGTGTGTGACCTACTCAGGCTAAAGGACTGTCACCTGTTTGGACTCAGTGTTATACAGAGTAAGTCTTACCCTCAACTCTCATGGATTCAGCCAACTATCCCAAAGGAAATGACATTTTACACCTGTCACTTCAGTTGGGCATATGTTATGAAATTGTGATTCCAAAAACACCCATAAACTGATCATTTTTTGTCTAGTATTCATTTTTTAATGAATGAAATCTTATGTACTTTTTATAAGATTTTGAATCTTAGATCATGTATTTATTATAGTTTGAACTTAAAAATTCTTTCCTCTTTAGGAGTCTGGATTTCATGTGTTTGCTCTTTTATGTTGTAAAGCTTGATTTTTGTTTCCCTGCACAGAGGGAGCAGCTGGAGCGAGTAGGAAATTAACTTGGATATTTTAGTAATTTAATTTGTTTTATAATTTGGGGCATGAAAAGAAATGTAGACACAATAAAACTGACTTTCCTCTATTCAGATTCACTTGTTAATGACTGTATAACAAAGTGTCCTATTAATTTCCTCTAATTTAGATTCACTTGCTATTGACTATATAACAGAGTGTCCTATTGATTTACTCTTATTTTCTGTTTGTTCCTCCTTATCCCTTCTCTTGTCTCCAGTCGGAATCTACAACTTTGAGAGACGGGATCGTTTTCCTCTGTATACTTTCTGTGGAGAAGGTGGTCGAGGAAAGGGCTTCTCTGCCCTGCCACCTTAGAGTTTAGGTCCCAGGGTTTATCTGCAGCCATTTCTTATAAACGTTCTTCTTTCAAATAGTAATTTAAAATTTCTCTAGGTCCTGGCTGGTGTTTCTAAATGGTTAGAGCTTCCGTTAGAATCGATCAGTGTTTCTCTCTTACATTGAGGTCTCTCTCTCCCCCCCGTTCTCTTTCTAAAATTTAAAAGAAAAAGAAAAAATCCCTCTAATTTAATCTTCTGGATACCAAAAACCTTTCATATCTTTGTTCAGTTTTTTGAGGAGAATTTTTTGTGGAATGTTTTTGTATGTACACTTGGCTATAAGTTATTTTTTGCTACAGGAATTAGTTTAACGTTAAGGCTTACGGTATCTTGAGAAAATGGTTAGCACCATAAAATGGTTAGCACGCTTAGATCTGTCAGATCGGAAAGTGTGTGGTGATCAACTGGTAAGCAAGGCTCTGCTCCCAAGGATGAGCTGTTTTCAGTGTTTTTAGGTGAGGCCGGAGCAGGGAACGTGTCAGGAACCCAAGAATCAACCATTTGCTCTTCGCTTTCTTCCCAGGGTGGTTACTGCAATAAAAACACAAACGCGCAGCTCCCTCCCAGCATTAGGACACACCTCAGTCATTCTTTCAAGAGCCTGGGAGGATATGAGATGCCCTGTGGATTCTGAATAACTTCACGTTCACTCCGCTCTGAGGGTCATTCTTCTGACCGCACAGGCAGACTGTTGGTCTTTGTTGTTGAACAAAGTCAGTCTAATAAAACCAGTTTACAGCTTCCTTCGAATTCATTCGAAAAAAGGGTCTGGACGGTGTTCTTTTTAAAAGAGAGACTGTAACATGACGAAAGGACCTTGGGACCGGAATCTGATGGCCTGGTTCTAATTCTGGTTCTGCAGCTTGCTAACCATGTGGCTTCAGACCTGTCGCTTGCCTTCCCCCGTTTCAGTTTTCTCGCTTGTGGAATGGGAACTGCTGTGCCACCTGCTTCGCGGGACTGGTGTGTGCGCTTCAGATTTCTTAAAGAACAAAGCTCCGGCCAGACTGTCTGATGGCAGGGGCAGGGGCACTTGGAAACTAGGCATGTGCTGTGGTGGTGAGCAGCAGTCTCAGTTCTACTCCCTGGGCTGCATCTTCAGACGGGAACGCGAGCCAAACAAATCAGGTTCAGCGGGAAGGTTGTCTGATCTTGTCCATTTCGTGTTTGATCAGTAACACAGGCGAGAGGAGCCATGGTTGTTAGTCAGTCTGATAAGTGGATTGAAGAAGCATCGCTCTCTTTCTTGGGGACCTTTTTCCGTCATTCACATTGGTCGGTTTCATGTGGCCAGTTATAGACAGAGAGTGGTTTCCCCCTTCCTGCTCTCTTCTGGCACTTTTCCAGTCGAACCCCAGCATTCATCCAGGAGCGACAGTGTGGCCAAGTGTGTCCTCGTTGGAGGGGTCCAAGAAATACACTTCCCTTCCAGAAGGAGTACATTTTTAAATGGAGCTTCCCATGAGCCTGCCCCTTGGGTGAGGATGAGAGTAGAAGAAATGAGCATTTAAGGGAAAGAAAAAAAAAGATTAAAAACTTTTGTGCAAGATAGGAATGTTGAAGGCTTTTCTTGTGAAATAAATCTCCCTTAAACCAGTCTCTTGGAGAAGTCTGAAAAACTTATATTTTTATTAGCTTGTTTTCACATGTTTAGATCATGTTGACATGGGTTTTTAGCAGCCTGGTGTTCTGTGCATCTTGAAGAACTATGTTGGCATTCATTCTTGTTTTGCCTAAGATTCTTCTCCTCTTCCCACAAGATCAATCCCAAAGGCAGTGTGAGTAATGGCTCATCGTTCTGTCACGCTGTGTTTTACGGGGAGAATATACTCGGGGACTGCTCTTCATAAAGCAAGGGCCAGGTCCCCCTCTTGAAAACGTGAGGTTATTATCAGCGTTATCTGATTTCTTGTGCAGCAGTGAGGATGGTGTTTCTGCACCATTTCATTATTGTGCCGTGTTGGGAAGCGCTTTCTGAGAGCTAAACAAAAGCATGTTTTTTGTAAAACCAAGTAATGTCCAGTATTGGAAGTTTTGACCCTCAAAACTAAGTACAAGTAGGAAACCGTATTTCTTCTAAGTATTACATATTTTAATAGTTTGTGTGCTGTATTACAATAAGCAAAGTAATTCATAAAGGCCCTCATTAATGTCTAGCTCACAGGACTTATGTCTTCGTATCTTGTTGCGTTTTCTCGGTGGTATGTGAATTCAGAGTGCATTCGTAAATCTTGAGGCTTTCTTTGAAAAACCTGTTTCTTTGTATATTCTTTTCCTTTAAAAAAAAAAAACATTTTTTAATCACCTATCTCCTTGTTTAACGTGCAGATAATGAGCATGTGTATATGGAGCTGTCACAGAAGCTTTATAAATATTGTCCAAAAGAATGGAAGAAAGAGGCCAGCAAGGTACGACCATACGAAGTCTCTTGGGTGAGATTACATTTATGAGCAAAATTATTTTGATTTTTTAAGAAGGTTTATTTGAGCTATTCTACATTAAAAATATTATAAACCGCATTTTATGCAGTAGAGAATGGGAAAGGGAAATGCATTTTTAAAGATCCAAAATGTCACATCGATGAAGTATTAATAGCATCCAACTAAATTTGGGATATCTGTTTAAGTAATGCTAGATAATAACTTTTCGATAACCATGGGATAATGCGTTGAAATGGAAAGGTACATGTGCTCTTTTGTGGCTGTGTTAGTTGTGCAAACTGATGTTCTAAGTAGGATTAACAACTTTTGAATCTACTTTTACTACCCTTCCATTTGATACTTTGTTACTTGATTGTGCTGATGCCTCTCTTCAGTAAACATGGAATCTATTGACACGGGGGAGCACTCACAGGGATTTACCTTGTGTTCTCAGGATCGCCCTCCTAAGTCAGGAATAAATCCCCAGTGTCTGATCCTAGAGCCTCCAATTTGTACTTAAGAATTCCTGAAATAAACTGGAAGGCCACTTCAAAGCTAACTACAAAGCAGGGAGCACAAATGTCTAAATAAACAAACAGCATATTAGGATTTGGTATGTGGAATGTCAGAGGCACAAGAGAACATTTGTAATGAGGAGCAAATGGTCACCACAGGGGACAGCGCTGAGAAAGGAGCTGGATCCCAGCTAGAAATTTCCACTGGCATTTATTTTTATCTCCCCTTCTGTTGTCATTGGCATTACAGTGAATGAGTATCAGATACAGTAATGATGCTTTATGACTTCCTGGTTTTGCCTGAGTCTGGTATCCATATGGGACCACTGCCTGCAAGGCCACGCTCACCAGGGGTAGATAAAACCTTTCCGTGTTTAAAAAGTAGCTTATAAATAGTGGTAAGTTATTACTTTGGAAAAATAGCTTGATTTTTTTTTTATGTGACTTTGTTTTAGGGAATTGACCAGTTTGGACCTCCTATGATTATCCACTTCCGAGTACAGTACTATGTGGAAAACGGCAGACTGATCAGGTATGATGACAGCGAGAGAGTCTGAACCTGTCTTTCCCATGCACTCATCTTCCCATACAAACCAGCATATATATGTTATTGATTTCTGAGGTGAAGGGAGAGGGAGAGACAGAAACATCAATGATGAGAGAGAATCATTGACTGACTGCTTCCTGTACACCCCTTACTGGGGATCGAGCCTGCAACTGGGGCATGTACCCTGACCTGGAATCAAACTGTGACCTTGTGGTTCATATGTTGACACTCAACCACTGAGCCACACCAGCCGGGCTGTCTCATAGGTTTCATTTTTATTTTATTTTAATTTTTTTGTTAATCCTCACCTGAGGATACTTTTCCATTGATTTTTGGAGAGAATGGAAGGAAGGGGGAGAGACAGAGAGAGAGAGAACATTGATGTGAAAGAGACACATCAGTTGGTTGCCTCCTACATGTGCCCCAATCAGGGCTGGGGATTGAGCCTGAACAGAGAGGTACATGTCCTTGACCAGAATCGAATCTGCGACCCTTCAGTCCTTAGCCCTGCCTGACACTCTATCCATTGAGCCAAAGTGGCTAGGGCAAGGGATTTTTTTTATTTTTTAAAGTCTTTTTGCATGTGCATGTATCCTCAGGTCCTCCAATAAAGGTACAGTTTACACTCAGTAAATACTTGTTAGATAAGTGAACGGCTAGCTGTCTCACATTCTCTGTACTCCCCATTCTTTCTTTTTCTTTTTTTTAATATATTTTTATTTATTTCATAGAGAAAGGGAGAGAGAGGAAAAAACATCAGTGATGAGAGGGAATCGTTAATTGGCTGCCTAAGAGTCTGAACCTGTCTTTGGACAGAGCCCGCAACCCAGGCATGTGCCCTTGACGGGAATCGAACTTGGGACCCTTTCGTCTGCAGGCCCACGCTCTATCCACTGAGCCAAACTGGCTAGGCCTGCACTCCACATTTTCAATAACACATAAGTCACCAAAAAGATACTTCATTCAAGAAGGAACTAGCACTTTTGTGAAGAGTAGAGAAATGGATGAAAGGATTACATTCTTCTTTGCTGGGGGGGAAGGGAGAGCGGGTCGAGGGCAGCAGCAAGAACTCTCTCCTATAAAAACGCATGGGTGTTTGCAGCCTGGTTTTCTTTTCACTGTGGGGGTCTTACTCTGTTCTTGGCAGTAGCTTTAAAGCTACGGTTATGCCCAGTGGAGTCATCCTGTGAGAATCTTAGATGCCGTTTGGCGAGGGCAGGTAATTGATTCTTTGTCTGGACGTGGCTGCCTGAACAATAATACCATGCCCATGATACACACTCAGAGTTCACTATTTTAAAAGCAAGCTTAGGAGGAGTCAGTGCTGGAAACGTTCAGAGGTGATCTTGTCGGCTGATAGAAAATACTAGAAATGTGAACTCTTGAGTTTTACTTATTTCCTATTAAACTTTGAGAAACCCCTTGTAACAGACAACAGATACATTTGGCTAGTGAGTTACATGTGAAAATTCGCTCTTAATTTTTATACCATCGCCATAGGTACATTACAGAGTAAAATATATTGGTCCATAAAGAATTTTTTAAAGACTGAGAAAGTTTTTAATTATTCTCAGTTTATATAAAGTTCTTACTCAATTTACCTACTACGTATGGAATGCACTTTACTCCATTTACCGACGAAGTATGGCATTAACCGCCTGGGGCTAATGAATGTTTAATTTATCCCAATGCTTCTGCCCTTTCCCCCCTGGGATGAACTAGTCCAAACACTGTGTGGTCAGCATTATAAAAAGAAGTGCTCTGAAAAGTACTCTGTGCCAAGGGGAGAAAAAATTACACAAACGCTTTATTTTTATTCTCTTTTGTTTGTTTCTGTCAAATGCTTTTATTTTTAAACTCTTCATAACTTAAACACGATCTTGGTTCCAATAAACCCATATGTTTTTATTATCATCCGCTAATGAACTATGATTCTAAGGTAAAAACACTCAGCCTACAGTAATAAAGAGGCAAATAAGCACATTAAATATACACCTACGTTTTTTCTTGCATTTCTGCTTTGATCACAGAGGCGTCCTGTGTGCCTGTGACATCTTTTGGAGCTAGACCACGTTTCCCCCAGTCAGCACTTCCTGCTCCACATGTCTAACGGGGACTATATTTATGTCTGACCTCAGTGGATTGTAATGAGTGCCCTGCTAGTATTTCCACTTTTGAGGAGTATCGTGGTTGTCATAACATGTGCCTATTAAAACACATCCATTAAGTAACACCCACTTAATAACAATAAAAAAAAAAGATTTAAGGGAAACATTTTTCAGTTCATTCATTCTGAAAAGGGGTGGGGGGTGGGAATCACACCATTTGTAGTTAATTTTCTTTTTTCTAGGCAGTCTCATAAACATTTTTAAAGTGACCATAGAGCGTTTGTAATGTGCTCAGCTGAAAAACAAAAAAGAATAGCAAAACATTAAAGCCAGGGTTGGGTTGTCTCCTCGGATTTGTCCTTATTTCTATGATGTGTACAGCATTTTGTGACAAAATTATCTTACTACAACAAATACCTAGGCTTCTGTGGTCATACTTGCTTCATGAAATATTACAGTGGAAGGATTCAGACCATTTTTTCCAGTCTCTGAATGAATTGACTATTCCGGGTCTTAGGAAATGTGATTTTTGCCGCCGGGGTAGCCTGACTTAGAATTCAGGGAGGCGTCCATCAGGGGTTCCTACAGCCTCCCCTTGTTCCCGTGAGCGGGAAGGAGCGGGGAGCAGGGGGCAGACACAGAGAGCCCTTGTCAGTAGACGGATGGCAGGATCTGGGTTCTGTTTACATGCCATTGGATCATACCATCGAAATGTGTTTTCTTTTATTCTCCCAGTGACAGAGCAGCAAGATTCTATTATTACTGGCACCTGAGAAAACAAGTGCTCCATTCTCAGTGTGTGCTCCGCGAGGAGGCCTACTTCCTGCTGGCAGCCTTCGCCCTGCAGGCTGACCTTGGGAACTTCAAAAGGAATAAGCACTTTGGAAAATACTTCGAGCCCGAGGCTTACTTCCCATCTTGGGTAAGGCGCTGTTTTCAAATTCTAAAGTGTTTTCTCTTAGCCTGCTTCTATGTCATTGTGCTGCGACTCACGCTGCTTCAGGAAACGGGAACCCGGATGTTTTGTGGCCAGAGAAACCCTTCATGATGCGCAAAATATAAGTCTAACTCTTAAGAGCGTGATGCACACGCTGTCTTTGTAGTCAGTGCGGAAGGAGATTGCTCTCCATTCTAAACATGCTGGAGCGTGGAGGGTGCCAGCCCGCGTTTGGTGTTTGCAGGGCCTTGATCTTCTTTATTCTTAATTTGAGCAGCATTTTCTCCTTTCCAGTCAACCCCACTGTAAATTGAAAATATGGTTAAGTCACGAGGCATTCCATACGCTTAACTTATCGAACATCAGAGCTTAGCCTGGCCCATCTTAAATGTGCTCATAACACTTTCACTCATCTACAGTAAGGCCGAGTCATCCGACACAAAGCCTGTTTTGTAACCTCCTGAGATTTTTTGAATACTGTACAGAAGGTGAAAAACAGAATGGTTGCTTGGGTCCCCAGCATTAGTGAGCACAGCTGGAGGCTGAACACAGCCCGGAGTGTGTGTGAAGCCTTGAACTAAAGCAAAAAAAAAAAAAAAAAAAAAAATTAAAAAAATTGCTGGTGACTCAGTGAGCACAGAGTGTCCATTGTTTACCTCTGTGACCCTGTGGCTCACCACCACCACCCAGCATCACGAGAGAACACTGAACTGCAGATCACTAGTTTGGGGGGGAAAGGGGCGGGGACTTCAAAATTTGAAGTTCAGTCTCTGCTTTCATACCATAGTCAAGAAATCGTAAGTCGAGCCATCATGTATGCCGGGGCCCTGTGTTTGAGTCAACTCCTTGCTCTAACCACCATCTCCTTACTTCAGCGAGAAAATTTAGGTTATTCCAGCATAACTTATTCAACTCTACTTTCCCTACCCCAGCCAGTCTGCTCTGTCCCCATCCTTCCTCCAGGTCTCTGCTGTAACTGCTTTCGCTCACCTTTACCCTCTGCTCTTCAGTCAGAGCATACATAACATGCTTGGTTTGCATCCCCATCCTCAGGAAGGAAAGAAAGGGGGAAAGAAGGGAAGGAGGGAGGGAGAGAGGGCGGGAGGGAGAAAGAAAAATGCTGCCTCTCCTGCCTTCCCTTTTCAGTAACACTTCTTGAAAAAGTGACGTCTATTTGATGTTCTAGCTTCTTTGCTTCCCACATGTACTCCTCAACCCACCTCCTTCTGCCTGCTCATCCCACCGCTCCATTCATGGGCTGTCCCTCAGGTCACCAGGGACCTTTAAATGGCCAAATCCAGTGACCACTTTCACTTCCTGAATTTCTCAGCTGCGCTTGACACATCACCCCTCCCAATCACGGGAGATTTCATCCAACTGAATGCTTTTAACAGCCACCTCTCCCCTGTGTCCGTGAGATAGCTGTTCACTCGGAGGCATCTCAGATTCAGAATATGAAGAGTCAGACTCATCTTCTTCCCACCACATCAGTTCTGTTATTCCTGCCTCCGTGTTCCTAACTTCAGCTGGTGGACCGCCGTCCACCCAGGCACCCAGGAACTTGGGAGTCACACAGAGCTCCCTCCCTGATCACCCTTCCTTCTCCCCATCCCATCTACTCAACCAGAACGTCTTCTTACACAAACAGCTGATAACCCATCACCCAGCTTAAGAACTGAAATTCTCTTGTATTTTTGTTAACTGCCTACATGTTTATCTATCACATCCCTTCCTCACCACTGTTCCTCCACCTCCCAGCTCTTGGGAGTTCTCAACAGCCCTGCTGGGGAGCCTTGCTTTTGCTGCGATGGAGGCCTCCAGGGCTCCCCTGTCACCTGCGGAGTGCAGCCCACTCCCAGGCATGCCTGAGGAGCTTTGCAGGACGTGGCCCCTGCCTGCCTTTCCAGGTTCCTTTCTGACTGTCCCACGCCTTGAATTTTATCGGTAGCCTCATCCTATAATTCCCGTGTCTCCACACCTGAGGTGCCTCACACTCGACCTGTCTTCCTCCAATTCTTTTAGCCTGTGCAGCCCTCTCCCTGTCTCATCTCGCTCCTTCCAGCACTCAGCTCAGGGGGAGCTTCCTCTGGGCAGACTGGCCGGTGCCAGCACCCCTCCTCTGTGCTCAACAAGACACTGGGTGGGGGTGTTTTGCATCTTATTTTCAAATAACTGTTTATCTTTTGGCCCAACCCCAGTAAACTTAGTGTTTCTTGGTATGTTCTAAAGGACAGACATAAATGTAACCTTCCCTGTTTGCTCAGCCCTTCACATTGAGGTGCTCAGTGTAGGTTTTTGTTGACCGACTGACAGTTGATCGATAGTGCTTCTGTTGTTGGGAGAGAAATCGCAAAGGGTGTCAAGCTTTTCCATAGCCATGCCTGTTGGGCCAAAATTAGCCTGCTTTTACATTCCCTCCTCATCACGTGCTCACTGAGCCTTGGGCATTTACATCGGAGCTTCCCAGCAATGTGCCGTGGCATCCAGAGTGCCCAGGTCCCAGTGTCCTCAACCCTTGGGGTCACCAAAGCCACTGCTTCAGTGCCCCTACAAATGCTATGTTCTCTGTGTTCTCTGACCTGAACAAGGTTGGCAGGTACTGACATAGATGATGTTCATGTAAAAGGCATCTAGACAGAAAAATGTGTATTCTGAGTTCTCAGTAAAACTTGAAAATTGGCCAGCAATGTATCATGCTTCATTCAATAGAAAGAAACAAAACGTCAGTATTTATAAAACAGTTTGCTAGTAAAACTAAAAATGCTCTAGTTTTGTTTTGTTTTTTATTCTGATGATTTTAAACATTACTCTGGTTTACGTTGCGTAATCCCACAATTGATAATCCTTATGAAACCAGGTAGGACCTTTAACTATTTGACACCTTTGTCTTAGCCTGCAGCCGCTGGATGCTGTGTGCTTTTGGCATCTAAAAGCTCAGACTACTGTCTGAAGAAAACATAAGCCACAGTGAATTACAATGAATGTATGAAATAAATTGCTTCCTCATAAGTGTTCTAAGAGACTGGTCATATCAGCCTCTTGTGCGAAAATCACATTTCAGAGAACTTCCCGCAGTCCCCTGCCTTTTTTTGGATTAACATTCAGAGTCTCCCACGCTGTGGCTGTGATTTTGGAAGAGTTAAGTAGGATCCAGAACCTAAAGATGTGCTGACAGAAGTATTTCATGGTACCAGTAATTTTGCAAGGAGAAGCAATGATGCGTACAAAATTTTGCAAGTTTGCATGGTTGCCTCATCCTGTAATTCCCGTGTCTCCACACCTGAGGTGCCTCACACTCCCTATCTTCCTCCAATTTTTTTTAGCCAATTTTTTTGGTTTGATTTTTTTTTTTTTTTTTTTTTTTTTTTTTTTGGTTCTTGGTGAGTGGAAAGCCAAGAGAACATATTTTCCCCATTTCTTGTGATTTGTCTTCATAGCTACTCAATACTGCAGCTCCATTGTCTTTGTCACTTTGAGTATTAGCTGATTCAGTCTCGTACTATCACCGATGAAAGCAGAGTTGAAAGGGGGATTTTCTAGTGGATATCAGCTAGTTTATATGGTTTAGTTAGGTCCTTGCCCTCCTGTCACTCACAGCAGTGTACATCTCCCGACAAATGTCACATTGTGTGCCCGTTGTATTCCAACAGGTTGTTGCCAAGAGGGGGAAGGACTACATCCTGAAGCACATTCCAAACATGCATAAAGATCAGTTTGCACTGACCGCTTCCGAGGCTCATCTGAAATACATCAAAGAGGCCGTCCGGCTGGACGACGTGGCCGTTCACTACTACAGGCTGTATAAGGTACAGGCGGCCGTGCCCGCTGCTTCCGAGGAAAAACTCCTTCCCCATCCCAGGGGGTTTTATTTAACCCCGCCTCTCACTGAGAAAAGGGCTTTCAAAGGTTTCCTGTGACCGCTGTTTGTCACCGCAGGCCACCTCGGGGCGGGTGATTCTTTCTCTCAGCCTGGGAGAAGGGTGATTCTAATGTTGTGATAACACGGAGCTGCATACTGTGAACCTGGCTTCTCAGTGAAAAGAAACACTAGGGCTGTTTTCCTCCTCTCCAAATCTGCACTTCTGTCCTGGGGACTGACATTGGCAACTTCTTTGATCCTTGGTTTTCAATATTCCCCAAAGTGAAGTCATGCAGCATCGTATCTATTAGTGACCAGAGCGTCTCAACATCAGCTAGTGCTTATGTGTGGGTGTGGGGCACCCTTTCTATTGACCCTTAAAAAAAAAAAAATCCTCACAATTCTGTAAGATAGGAACTATAATCTTCATTTTACAGACCAGAACCAGACTGAAGGCCACAAAACTAGTAAGTGGCAGAGCCAGGATTCAACTGGGTCTATTTGAAGTCGGAGCCTGTGTGTTTTCTCCACCGAACTCTCTGATGTTTGTCACTCCCTTTTGTGTCTTCTGTATGCCTAGCCTCATTGTTTCAGAGGTCAGAGGTCACACAGCCAAATAACAGTTGGGGCCAGACTCTACAGGGAATCCCTCACACTACCTTTATGGGATCCTGTCTTCTCTCCTCCCCACTCGAGGCCGTATTTCACTCCTGAATCCCGACATGTATCCAGGGGTATGTTCTCCCAGTGAATAGGATGAAGTGATTAAGTAATTATTGTTGAGCCTCGTTTGTGGGATTGACTCCTAGCCTCACCTCTTACTGTGTGGCCTTAGACAAGTTATTTAATCTCTCTGCTTCAGTTTCCTGTAGTTAGATGGGGATGGTAATGGCCTACCTCTGAGGTTCATTGAATCGGTAAAGGGCAATGGATAAAAGGTGCTTCAAGCAGTTGTTACCTTTGTCACTGTTACTATGCTTGGTATCACTCCATATTCTTTGCAGTAAGATTAGACCATTGGATATACTGATGGCCAGCATATTGTCTGGTTCAGAAAACTGAGAAAGGAACCAGCGAGTGGTGTTTCTTCTCTCTTCCATGTTTAAGAGGTTCACTGTGAATGCCCCGTCATCCTGGAAAGGCATAATTGAGCTCCATCATATCTTTTTGGCTAAATTCCTAAAGGACTTAGCTATTTGTTCATTTTTTTCCTTAAATTTTATTTGTGACAGTTTATAGGAGAAAATTCAAATAAATGACATGTTTGACAATCAGCTTATAATTTTTAAATGTATGAGAATTACTAATAATGCATTGAAAAGACTGTGGCTTTGGAATCAGATATCCTGTATAATAAAAAGCTAATATGCAAATAGCCCCCTCTACCGGGAGTTCGACCAATCCCCCACAGCCCCTCCATCCAGCCAGGCCCGCCCCTGCCCCCAATCGCCCCTCCCCCTCCCTTTGATCTGGGGTGGGGCCTGCCTGCCAACCTCCCATGTCCCCTTCCCCTGGCCAGCCGGGCCCGATCAGAGTGTGCTGGCCAGACCCAACCCCTGCACAAATTTGTGCACCGGGCCTCTAGGCACTTAAAAACCCTGTATTACCACTGATTATTACTGGATCCTAAGTAAATATAACTGTAATCCTGGGCCATCTATTAAGTGCAAATGATTCCATACATTTCCAAAGTTGAGAAAAATTCTATAAGATAATGAATATGAAATAACCAGGTGGAATGTCTAGTACATTAGTGATTCTTATTTGATAAGGAAATTTAGTATTTAAAAAAATCCTATTGGCCCTGGCCAAGTAGCTCAATTAGTTAGAGCAGCATCCCCTAAAGTTATAGGCTCGATCCCTGGTCAAGGCACATGCAAGAATCAACCAATGAATGCATAAATAAGTGGAACAAATAGATGTTTCTCTCCCCCCTCTCCTCCCTCACTCTCTTTCTCTTTCTCTCTTTTTCTCAAAATCAATTTTTAAAGTTCTATTAAGAACCATTTAGTGAAGTAGATATCCTCAATTTATCTTGTGTAAAAATCTTTCAAACTTTCTTAAAGTGCGGTACTTCTATCTGGCATGGAAAATGACTCTAGTCTGCTTAAAATGAGATAATTAATCATAGTAATGTAACTGAATGAAGTGGGAAATGATATTATTGCCTCACGGGCAGAATTTTTATTCTTTGGAGAAGTCGACTGGCAGCCACTGAAACTGCTTCATTTAAGGCCTGGTTACAAAATGGAAATAAGGTAGATGGAGGATAGGAAACGACCTGAAAAAGAAAAAAAAAGAAAAGAATTCTGTGCTCCCTTTCCTGCACTGCACACCTCATACTTGCACAGCCAGTGTTTTTATGAGCACAGTCTTACTTCAGGAAACAATGAGAACGGCCTTGAAAGGGAAATTGGTCTAAACCAGTGGTCGGCAAACGGTAGCTTGAGAACCACATGCAGCTCTTTGGTCCTTGAGTTTTCAGCAAAGGCCAGTTTAGGTACTCTAATTAAGTTAATAACAGTGTACCTACCCATATAGTTTAAGTTTTTAAAAATTTGGCTCTCCAAAGAAATTTCAATCGTTGTACTGTTGATGTTTGTCTCTGTTGACTAATGTGTTTGCTGACCACTGGCTTAAATTCATAGTGATGGGTTAGTTTCTCTTACTATATGTGCTTTTTGTGATGTAAAAATATTAATATGTTGGTTGGACAAAAACAACCCAAAGAGTAAAAATAGGCTATGTCTTCTCTTTTCTGTCCTGGTGAGGATGCATTTTCAAAGAATACTTCTTAACCATGTTCATGGAGGAAATGGCACTATAATAAAAATTTGTACATATTTATTGTTTTTACTGAGAAATCTTATAGTGAGAATATATTAGTTAATTAATAATAGTACATCTTTTATTTTTTACTTTATATTTTATATATATTTTTACAGATGAGCACTTAAAAAGATGTGTTCAAAGTTCTAAGTACATTCTTTTTTTTTTTTTTTTTAAGTTTTTATTGTTGCAGGTATTACATATGTCCCCTTTTTATCCTATTGACACCTTCCTGCCCACCCCCCTCCCCAGACCTTCACCACACTATTTTCTGTGTCCATGGGTTTTACATAAATGCCATATAAGTTCTTTGGTTGATCTCTTCCCACCTGAGTACATTCTTAATCGGATGTTAGTTATAGTTTATTGTTTATAGTTTATGGGTTAACGGGTAGAATATATACCATTTTGGTAAGTAATAATTGAACATTTAAAAAATAAGTACTTTAAAAAAAATTAACCAATATAAAACTTTTGCAGCTTTATTATTTGTCCTCATGAGACACCCTTAAGTATTTAGGCTCACCTGTAATCTTAGCTTCTGAGCTGGGAGATTTACCCAGTTTTTAACATATAAAGTCTGGTGCATCTCAGAATGTAACTATGATTTTATATTCAAGGTTCTAATGTAGACATTTTCGTAAAATTGTATCCCCCCAGGATAAAAGGGAGATTGAAGCTTCTCTGACCCTCGGGCTGACCATGCGGGGAATACAGATTTTCCAGGTGAGTAAAGGAGAGAACTCAGTGTCCAATAGGCACTGCTCTGGCTCACAGTGACAGGGTGCCTCTGTGGTCCTGTGATAGCTTCGCTGGCCCTTTTGTGGCCATGGATTGGTCGTTGCTTCCCGTTGGTGTGCACAGATGTGGACGATGTGGGATAGACAAAGGGATCCAGTCTAAACCATGTAGTAACAAGTCTTCCAGAACAGAAAACAAAAAGCCAAAGATTGGCCCCAGTTCATCCCTTTTCCTGTGTGTGTCCTTGACGTTAAATATACTCTAGTGTATTTTTGTCCTCGGGAGCATTTATAGTTCTAAAGATGACATATTCATTTTCTGATAAAGCTTGTTCCCTGAGTAAGTAGGTGGGATGATGCTACAGCCATTGACAAGCGGGAGAAAGAGCCTCTTTCTGGGAGAGCTAGGAGAGTGTCAGGATATCTTTCCTTCGATGTAGGCAAAATATCCCAAGGATGAAAGTCTGAGTACCTTGTCTCATCTCCCGAATGCTTGAGTCTTTCGGACTTTTTATTTAAATTTAGCGATAGGCCAAAAGAGGAAAGATTGCCTTGAAAAGGCCAGTTACTGATGTAGTCACTCAGGAACCGGAAACTGAATCGTATCACTAATCTTTTAATTACTGTCTGCACATCTCCAAAGAGAGATGAGGACCTCTTTCAGATTTTAATTAATATATTTTAGTTTTCTGGGAGATAAGTTAGAGCAATTTCAGTGTCTGTCAGTTTCATCAGTAACTCTATATGCATTATAATTCTTCCCACAGAATTTAGATGAAGAGAAACAATTACTTTATGACTTCCCCTGGACAAATGTTGGAAAGCTGGTATTTGTGGTAAGTTTAAAATAACTGGCTAAAATAAATTACTCAGTTGTTTGTTTTGCAATTTTGTCGTTTCTTGTTTTTTAAGACAATATTGTCCCAGACCCAAAAGCTGATATTTTAAAGAAGTCAGTAGAGAAGATAGATTTCTTATATCCTTATGTCACTCATGAGTAGTAAAGTTAAAATTAAAGAATTTTATAGCAAAATAAATTAATAATTTTAATTTGTGTGCCCGGTCTTCACCACACTACCCTAAGTTGCTCTACTTGCAAAAGAAATGTAGTGAGAAAAGTACAAGATGAGTTCATCAAGTAGAATTGTTTTTAAAAGTGTACGGCGGAGGGATCAGAAAACAGAAAACCATAATCACAGGGTCAGTTCTCTTCGTGTGGGGCCAGCCGGTTCCTTTGGAAGTTACTTCCTTTGAAGAAGGAATAAAGAGTGATATAAAAAGATGTTTCTATTAATATCTCACTCTTTGAAACTCATCATTATAAAGAAAGGTCTATAGTTCTTACCAGGAAAAATACGTCTATTTATATTTTTATTTATTTTTTTAAATATTTTTTTAGTATATTTTATTGATTTTTTACAGAGAGGAAGGGAGAGAGATAGAGAGCCAGAAACATCGGTGAGAGAGAAACATCGACCAGCTGCCTCCTGCACATCCCCCACTGGGGATGTGCCCGCAACCAACGTGCATGCCCTTGACCGGAAACGAACCTGGGACCCTTTAGTCCGCAGACCAATCAATGCTCTATCGCTGAGCCAAACCGGTTTTGGCCAAATACCTCTATTTTTAGAATATTGAGGATGGTCGCCTTTTTTTCTCAGAGCAAATTCATGATTTTTCCAGCTGTTTACTTTGCTAGCTATCTCCATTTCTTAATAGAGTTCAAAGAATTACAGTTAATAGTGTGTCTGTCTAGTAGTCATGAAAATCCACAATTTCCTTTTGTTCAGAAGCTCCTGAAAAAATACACAAAGAGAGGAGGAAGATAAGGATTTGTGCACATGGCCTTCTCTCCCCGAAGGAAGATGGCCTATATAAATAAAGGGTTGTATTGCCAAACAGCACTGGGCACTGATTCCACGCTGCCCTGTGAGTCAAAAGACCTGTTCCTGGCTTTACATTACTTTAATTACTTGGGCACAGTTCAATCTGATTTCACTTTACTCAATGTTAAGCACGGCCGGCCTGCCTCCTCCCCACTGGCTCTCCTTTGTTCCAGCTCTTTGTGAAAGGATCTGGGCTGTTTGAAAATGAGTGCATTATTGCCAAACTTGCTCCTTTCATGTCCCACAGTAAGTAGTCATAAAATGCATTTCTGAAATGGAGTGTTTTAAGGGTCCTGGACTCAGTGAATCTAGTTTTGCGTCATACTCATCCGAGGAGCGTGTTGACATTATAGACTTTTGTGCCTTGTCCTCCTCTCTTACTAGAGATTTTTGATTCGGTGACTGTGGGTTGGAGAGGAGGAATCTATTTTGACAGACTTCCCAGATGCAGCCAGCTGTGTGACCTTGAACAAATTGCTTAATCTCTCTGTGCCTTAGTTTCTTCAGTTCAGATTGATGGTGAGGATTAATGAGTTACAAATGCTTATAGTTTGTTTAGTATCAGTTATTACTGTTCTAGTATTGCGATCCACTGGTGGTCTTTTAAAGAAGTCTAGAGGTGAAAAATTCTATCGCTGTCTGAGTTACACAAACCCATCCTGATTTGTACCAATTTCAACTTAGAGTATGTCTCCCTCTTTGCTTCACTTCTCCTCTCCCGCTGAGAATCGTTGTGTCTGGAATACTCCTTTTTGTAGTTCTGCTGCTTTATTCATTGTTAGCAAAGTGAAAGAAATTCAAAATATTCCAGAACTGTAAGGAACCCTGCCAGACTCTCACCCTCATCCTCGAACTCTATGTTAATGATCCCAGACCTAAAGAATGTGATCTGTTATATCTCTAGTGATAGACACTTGTATCTCTTCTTTCTCTTTCTCGTCCCATCCCACCACTGTCTCTGTAACTTCCGGCTAGAGAAGTTTTATATATTTTTTTTTAAACCCTAAATAGGTAGCCAGTATTTTTCAGCATCATAATTCTATTTATTTCCTTCCTGGAATTTATCATAAGCTATAATTATTCTGTGTGTGTTAATTTACCATCTGTCCCACCAGAATGTATCTCCACGAGGGTGGGGAGCTTGTCTCTCCCATTGACTGTGTCTGTCTAGTGCAAGGTTCGGTACACGGCACGTGTTTCACAAATATTTGAATGCATCCTGCTCCTGGAATTTGTTTGCTGAGTTAAGTGTTGGGATTCATTTGCGGATGCTGCATGATAGCCCCTTCTCTTCTCCATCATATAAATGGCCTGACCAGCCAGAGACACCTAAGATCTTCCTCAATTCTCGTACCCAGTCAGTGGTTACCAGGAGACCCTTGCCAGACCATTTCCTGAATTTTGGGTAACCCTCTGTCTATGACAGTTTTGAAAGGGAACACAGGGTTTTATGTCTCAGCAAATTTTCAATAAAGCTTTATATGGTAAGTCCTCACTCAAAGTCATCCACAGGTACTGCAACTTTAAGCAGAAGGACGTACCGCACAACCAGTTGTACTGTAGGCTAATGGACAGAAACAAGAGTCTCATTCCCATAGCATCTCATCAGCGCTGTGACGAAACGTTATCCGAGGCCCTGCTGCCCATCCTTTTCTGAATCTGCAGTTTTCCTTACCAAGTAGACAACGAAGGGGGCCTGGGCAAATCAGAGACGTTGCTTCCCGAGTCTAATTTATGTTTTCCCTCCCCAGGGTAAGAAATTTGAGATTTTGCCAGATGGCCTGCCCTCAGCCAGGAAGCTCATCTACTACACGGGGTGCCCCCTGCGCTCCAGGCACCTCCTGCAGCTGCTGAGCAACAGCCACCGCCTCTACATGAACCTGCAGCCCATCCTGCGCCACATCCGGAAGCTGGAGGAAAACGAAGGTATCGCAGGCTCCCGGATGGGGGGCAGGGGGTGGCTTTGCCGCCATAACCCCCGGCTCTAGAGCTGCCATGAACTGGGCGTTAGGCTCCTGCGGGGTGGGACGTGGGGGCCAGATCTCTCCAGATTCAGCACAGCATCCTCTTTCCATCCCAGCACTGTTCCAGAAGGCAAAGGGGTAGCTGTGGTGCCAGCAGCTGTACCCATCCCAGATGCCGAGGTGATCCCCGTCATTTAGCTGCCCCTTGTGCAGTCTTTTTCACCTGTCCCACGCTTGACTTGAAAATTCTTGTGAAAAAGCCACTATGTGAAGGTTCAGGCCAAGGTGTATCTGCACCTCAGAGCTCCGTGTAGACACGGATCCATCTTGGTTCTATTATCCGCAGGCAATCTGAAGTGGCTCCCAACGAAGTGGGGCACAGAAATGGCTGTAGTCTCTCTTCTTGACTGCGGAGAGACCCCCACGTCTGCCCCAGCAAGAGTGACAAAGGAGGGAGAAATTTTCATCTGAGGATTTTATCAGTCAGTCCTGTGGGGCTGGGCTGAGACACAGACAGAATAGAGCAGTCTCTGAGGAGCCCCAGAGTCCTGGGCCAAAGGAGACACAGGGTGATGAAGAGGGAGGCAGAGAGGGCTTCTAGAGGCTGGCTTCAGCTTTACAGTATTAAGCTCGTGGTTAACTCTTTATCTTGAGTTATGGCACCTGGGGTCACTACACTTAACGCTCCAACTTCTGATCCCCCAAAGTGCTACTTTGCATTTTTGTTTATTTTTTAATGCATTCCATTTTATTTTGCAAATTCATGTTGTACTCATTCTTGGTAATGCGATTAGATTAGTAGATTGTAGGGGTTTGCATGATCATTAGGTTGCAGATTCACATCGGAGGTCCATGTCTGAAACAGATGTTGACCTCTCAGATCCAACCTTTCCCACAGAAACAGGACAATGCCTGCTCTCTCCGGGCATGCAAAAAATCTTGTAGAGGTTTGCACATCTGATTGATATCTTTCCCAAGCTGCCTCTGTCTGAACGAGACCCCATTTGGAGATGTCCCTGTCATTTAATTAGCAACTAGAACGTGAATCATCTCCCACTGTCTGCCACCGCGCTGCACCTGCCTTCGGAGAGAGTGGGTAAAAGTGTCAGGTGTATTGGCTTCCTCTGCTGCCAGGCTGCCAGATCTTCTCCCAGTGACTCATCGGTATGACAAATATATCTCTCCGATGCTGACATGAATATGAAAGAGAATTCAGACAGGAAAAGGTGCCAGAGGAACTTGCAAGAATGAGGAGGAGACTTAGGGGGGTGCAGAGCCCATTGTCTGCCAAGTCAGCCTTGTTCCTAGTGGGTGCCTTGAGAAGTTCATTTATTCCACCAGCGCCTGTTAGTCAATTCTTTTTAAAAATATATATATTTTATTGATTTTTTACAGAGAGGAAGAGAGAGGGATAGAGAGCTAGAAACATTGATGAGAGAGAAACATCGATCAGCTGCCTCCTGCACACCCCCTACTGAGGATGTGCCCACAACCAGGGTACATGCCCTTGACTGGAATTGAACCTGGGACCTTTCAGTCCCCAAGCCAACGCTCTATCCACTGAACCAAACTGGTTTTGGCAGTAAATTCTTGTTTAGGGGCCTGTAGGGGGAGCTCTTCAGAGCCCAGAAGAACTACCCAGCATAGTACCGGGTGCATTTGCGGGCTTACATGTACAGGGCAATGAAGGAATGGAAAAATTGTAAATTGGATCTTTTATTTGGTCAAGTGTAGATAGATTTGGAAGGGAAATCTTTTTTCTTCTTCTTCTTCTTCCAAAGAAAACACATTTAATTTCTTCTATTTAGAGATCCCTCCAGGGCTGAGGAAACACTGGAACTAAGTTCCTCTGGACCAGCCTTGGCCTGAATCCACGTATCTCACCCACACTTAAAGCCCCTTTTCAGTATTGGCTCAGCAAAAGGAGCAGCACAAAAGGAGTCTTATTTTTCTTAATTACATTTCGTTTAGAGTCACCTTGTCTGAAATACCGTTTTAGCGTTTTATAGCAGAAAATAATCACAAGAATTCTGTAGTGTATAAAAGAGAAGTGCTTTTGTCATTGGAAATATGTTAAGCCAGCTTTATTCAGTAGCTAGAGCTTATTCTTAAGCCATATTTACAGAAGTCACATCGACTGCCTTCTATTTTAAAATCATGTGTGAAAACCTTTGTGGTCGCTGGGCTTTTCCCACAGGGGGAGAACAGCACACTGGCATGTGGACCATCTTCGCTGTGGAGGCCAGTGATTATTAGGGGGACGAGAAGTTGCATTTTGCATTTCTTAGAACAAATTTCTGCATTACTTCAGCATTTCCCTCTGTCTGTAACTGAGTAATGTGAAGCTTCTTAAATGTTTGCAGAGAGTCTAAGTGATGTAACACTCATTTCAAAGGAGCCTCGTGGTGCACTCTGACAAGAAGTATATGTACACTAGGCTCCTAGCAGGAGCGCAGACTGGCAACTGCTTGTACCACAGGGACTGTACTAGTGAGTATGGGAGACTAGGATTGGCCCCAAACCTATTGGGAGGCTGGGGTTAAAAAGACTATTTGTAAAGATGTAGAAAAGATTTTATTTTTAGTTAGTTAATTGATTAGTTTTTAATATTTTTTTATTGATTTCAGAGGAAGGGAGAGGGAGAGAGAGAGAGATACATCAATGACTCGAGAGAATCATTGTCATTGATCAGCTGCCTCCTGCAGGCCCCACACCGGGGATTGAGCCCACAGCCCAGGCATGTGCCCTGACTGGGAATCGAACTATGACCTCCTGGTTCAGTGGATGCTCAACCACTGAACCACGCCGGCTGTATTAGAAAAGCTTTTAAATGATCAGATCCATGATTCCCAATTGCCTCAGACCTCTAATAAATACCCTATAGAACTTTTCCCCTATTTTTGTTTTATTACTTTTTTTCCTTCACTTGCCACCCTTCCGAGGGTCACCTGGCTATCTATTATTTTGAAAGTACAGTAAGTAGTAATTGTATGAGAACTTTGCAGACGCCTTCCGCTCTCATCTTCATGTCAACCCGTTACCTTCAGAAAAAGGAATCATTAGAACCCAGGCTCACCTTAAAAATGGGTCGGGTGCACTTTTGTCTCAGTGGTGCGTGTTGGGCTGTGTTGTCCAGTCCCACTCTGCTTTCTCTGTGGCTACACACACATGCCTCGGTGTTTCAGCCCGATTCTTTAGGATTGTCAGAAAGGGGCTGGCGCCCAGAAATGCATGCCCAGCCTTCCCCTAGCATCTTTCCCGTTATGCATCCAGCAAAGCATATCATCATCATCTCTTTCTGCTGATGCCTACTCCCTCTCGGGAGCCTGTGGCGACGATACTAAAGAGCTGGAACCAGACATCAGCCGTGCGGTATTTTAACCTAACCAGGAAACAAGACAATTAAATCCGTGATCAGCCCCCTGAGGACCCAATTAGTCTCCTTGTTAGCAGCTTCTGAGATAATATCAACTTAATGTTTCCCAGATGCACTCTCCATTGTTAGCATTGTTCTAATGTGTCATTTCTCATCCGTATTAAAAATACAAGGAAGCTAAACTATCTTTTTGTTTTAAATTTCCGAAGCGAAGCACAAAGATAACATTTTTGTGTCAGGTGTGCCCCTGCACCTCAGCTGTATTGGGGACCTGGGGGGCCAGGTCTCTCCATCTTTTAGCACTGCAGAAAGGTTAGCTTTCTATGCACCTATAATGTGGTTTATATATTTTTTATATTTTTAAAAAATATATGTTTTATATATTAGGTTAGCACTTGATGACAGGGACTTTCAGTGATGTCTCTGCATTAAAGAACAGCACTGGCACATTCAGGAACATGTCTACCCATCAGAGGCCATGTGACACACCAGCCGTGATTACTGTGTTTTCTAACTAGATGAGAAAGTCTCACTGATTCAGCCTAGATGGAGAAAAAACAGTCTTTGCTAATGTAAACCGAAATTTTAGAATTACCTGAAAGAAATTCTCAGAAGAACCGTTTTATTTTAAATTGTATTCAACAAGTTAGAGCTAAACCAACAGTGGACCAAATGAACAAATGAAATGAGTGGCAATTAGCATAATTACGTTTATTCAACAGTCTCCTGTGGTAGTGCTTCTGAAATTACCTGCGGGGAAGGACCAGGTTTTTTTAAATTTCTAGTCCACTGTAGACTGATACTTCTGCAGAATACAAAAATCACCATGGTGGCAGCCATGACAGTATCAGATTGCTCAAATGTTTATTCTCAGTTAAACTTTCTAAATGTTTACTCTCAATTACTGGACTTATTTCACTGTGGGACCAGTGACAGTCTGCTGACACGAGGCAATCGGTCACGGAGCGGCCTTCTTCTCTGGTGTTTGAAGCTCTAAAACTCTGAGTAATTCAAGCGCTCCCCTCAAACGTGTCACCCTGGCTTTTGTTCACTTGGCAGTGTTCTCAGGGGGAGAGCCTGTCAGAAGATTCTGAGAGCGAACCTGTACTTGATCTTGGCCTGATGGCTGACTCACTTAAGCTCGCCATCCGGTCTCCCTGTCTTGGTTAAGCATAATGACCACCGGTTGTTTCTTCCCACACAGAGAAGAAGCAGTACCGGGAATCCTACATCAGTGACAACCTGGACCTTGACATGGATCAGCTGGAGAAGCGGTCCCGGGCCAGCGGGAGCAGCGCGGGCAGCATGAAGCATAAGCGCCTGTCTCGTCACTCCACCGCCAGCCACAGCAGTTCCCACACCTCGGGCATCGAGGCGGACACCAAGCCCCGGGACCCGGGGCCGGAGGACAGCTACTCGGGCAGCGCCATCCACCGCAAGCTGAAGACCTGCAGCTCCATGACCAGCCACGGCAGCTCCCACACCTCGGGGGTGGAGAGCGGCGGCAAGGACCGGCTGGAAGAGGACTCGCAGGACGATGGTAACCTTTTCCCCGGACCCTCCATGCCGACAGGACAGCCCCCGTCCTAATGGTTCATTTTTTTTTTTCTCTCCTAGTTGTTTTTCGGTTCTACAGAAGTGATATCTGCAGAACAGCTAAGAAGTAGTAAAATAGAGAGAGAAGTGTCATGCCACCTTCCCCAATGACTTGATTGGGTTGTTTGTGAACAAAACATCCCTCTAGTCATGAAACTTTGCCACCACCAGGTTGGGTGGTTGTAGATTCTAGGTTTTAGGATTTTATGTGGAAACGTTAGTCCCACAGCCCTTGGGTCTGCATTTCTGATTTCCACATGAAATAAATATTGGTTAGGACTACAGATTGGATTCAATGATAGTGACATTGAATGCCTTGAACTTAAAAAAGTTTTGAGTCCAGGCTATTTGATTAATTAGTATTTCTTAAATACTTTTCATATCACCAGACACTAGGGAGAATAAAAGAAACACAGCATCTGGCCACGTAACTGTGGTAAGGAAATAAGATAAAGATATACAGCATGTATCAGCCCAAATTAGCACTTGTTTACATCTTTTTTTATTATTTTTCTGCCTCAAATAAATGCCATAGCATTCAGGTTTGGGGAAGAGAAACTGACTCCATTAAGGAAAGCTGCAGAACATGTTTGGTTACTATAGAATTCATGTAGTAACCAAACTGAGGCACTAACTTCCCTGAGACTAGGCACTGCAGGCAGTGGGGAGCTCCATGAACTACTCATTCTCTGTCAACAGTCTGCTTTGGCATTAGCCAAATGACCCATCAGTTTCCATTTGCCCTGTGACTGAAGCATGGTAGAATAGTCTTTCTTTCTTAAAGAGTAAACAACAATGGACAAATCATGGTGTTGGAAGACCTGTGGAGAACACAGCAGTCTTTTGAGAAAGAGAACAAATAGCATCTGGTTGAGAATTGTCCCAAGAGTGGGCTGCTGTAGAGCCTCATACGCCAATTTATTTTCAAATATGATAACTAGAGGACCAATGCACCAAGATTCATGCAAGAATGGGCTTCCATCCCCTTGCTGCCAGCACTGCCTTTGCTCTGGCCCAGAGCCACCTTATCATGCTGCCTTATCATGCTACTCAGAGTCCCAGAGTGTCTGGGACAGTGTGGAATGCCTGTGTTATTGCAATGGCCACTTGGCACATGTGTATGCAAATTAACTCACCATCTTTGTTGGGTTAATTTGCATACTCACTCCTGATTGGCTGGTGGGCATCATGAAGGTACTGTCAATTTGCATCTTTCTCTTATTAATGTAGATCATATAGTCTACCTTAGAATGTGGCTGTGCAGTATGGTGATCATTTCCCTTTATGCCGCTACATGTCTTTTCCCTTTTCTGTGTCAGAAATAGAGATGTTGGTTGATGACCCCAGGGACCTGGAGCAGCTGAACGAAGACTCTCTGGAGGTCAGCCCGGACATGTGCATCTACATCACGGAGGACATGCTCCTGTCGAGGAAGCTCAATGGACACTCTGGTGAGCTCTCCCAGGGAGTTTCCTTTAGCAGTATGGGTTTTGTTTTTAAACCACAGTTACCTTCTGTTTCTGTCACATGTCATGAATTAATCTCTGTTCTTTAGAGAAAGATGCCTTAGTATAGTGGTTGGCAAACTCATTCGTCAACAGAGTGGCAAACCGCAGCTTGCGAGCCATTTGTGGCTCACGAGCCTTACTTAGTACAAGTACTGTCCAAGTGGCCTGGGCACTTATTGTTATGCCACTCAAAGCTTTGATTGAGTGAGAGAACCTGTTAGGGCTGGAGTGACTGCTATTGCCCTGTCAAGAACCACAATCCCACCCTAGCTGGTGTGACTCAGTGGATAGAGCATTGACTTGTGTAGTGAAAGGTCCAGGGTTCAATTCTGGTCAAGGGCACATGCCTGGGTTGTGGGCTCGGTCCCCAGTGTGGGTCATGCAGGAGGCAGCCAATCAATGATTCTCTCTCACCATTAATGTTTCTATTTCTCTCTCCCGCTCCCTTCCTCTCTGAAGTCAGTAAAAATATATTAAAAAATAAAAAAGACCCACAGTCCCCGATGCTGAGCCTCCTCCATGCGCATGGGGCAGGGAATCAGATGAATAAGGCCAGCTCAGTCCCCCCACCCTGGCACTCACTCTACAAGAGCCCGAGGGGTCTTATGGGAGAATCCCACTGGCTGGCCTAGCAGCACCCTGGCCTTCAGGTGCTCTGCCAGGAACAGACTGCGGTGGTGGCAGGATCCTCTGCCTGACCAACAAAGGCCAGCGCTCCAGGCACACTTAGCTTAGTTCTTACACCCAGCTTTCTTCCCTTCTGTCCATTTGTTTAATGGGTTGAGTTTTTTTTACAAGTAACATTTCAATGTGTATTAAATATAAATTCATAATTATATGCACATTATAGGTGCACAGACGGCACACTCTCACTGTGCGTGCGTGTGTGTGTGTGTGTGCACGCGTGAGCATGAAACAATGTACATGAAAGTGCTTGTGGGGAGTGGGTACAAGGGAAGCCTTTAACACAGGAAGTTATTTTTATTATTTTTATTTTTTATATATATATATTTTATTGATTTTACACAGAGTGGAATTGAGAGGGACAGAGAGTTAGAAACGTCGATAAGAGAGAAACACCGACCAGCTGCCTCTTGCACACCCCCCACTGGGGATGTGCCCACAACCAAGGTACATGCCCTTGACCGGAATCGAACCTGGGACCTTTCAGTCCGCAGACCGACGCTCTACCATGGAGCCAAACCGGTCCCAGCGGGAAGTTATTTCTATAGGTTACTAGCAGCGGCTGAATGAGAATCACATTACAGTTTTGTTTTGTTTGTTTTTAAGAAGGTGGGAAGGTACTTCAATTCCTTGGCCTTAAGGACTTGACCTACTCACTTGCTTTACCTGTTTGCAAGAAAAATGCCAGTGATCTTCCCATACACTCCCAGCTCTTGTTGGCAGTTTTACCTTCTGAAACATTTCTTGGGGATGATTCACCCACATGCCGCAGTCTCATAAGGAAGTGTCTGCCCTGGATTTGTGTTTCCAAGGATCAGCAGGTTGCACCTGAGCACTGGGGTGACTAGGGACCCTGCCGATCTTCCCTGCAGCCTCCCCTTCTAGGTTCTTACCAATGAGGGCAGTTGGCTGCAGGAGGGATAGGCCACAGTGTCCCTGTCAGTTAAGAAGAGCGTGTTTTCCTGTGCAGGCCCGGTACTTCGTGCTTTTCATGCACATGCTCTCTGATCGTCATGAAACTATTGGTCAGTGCTGCTGTCAGCCCCCAGTATATGAGACTCAGGGTGGTTAGGTACCTGGCCAGGACACATAGCTGATTACTTGTCTGGGCCGAGGATCAACCCAGATCTGTGCGACTCCAGAGGCCAGAGCCCTCACACTTACCCACTGTACATCCAAGTGGACCAAACTGAGAAGTCACTGTCCGGGTGGGATTAAGCTCCAAGCTGGTGTTACGTGGAAAGTGGGAAGATTGCAGGAGAGCTAGCAAAGACGCTCCTCCACCCTGCGGTCTTTGTTCTTACTTCTAACTTCGTCCCAGATAGCTTCGTGAGAAGTTTATTTCAGAAAATTCAGGCTCTAAATTTCTTCCTATACTCAAACCCCACATTCATCTCAACCTACCCTTCACCCCAATTTCCTACAAGATACAGGATCAAATGGGTTTCTCCTACCAAAGACTCACTGTGAGATTTTTTCCAATAATGGTTAATATTTTATCTTTCCTTTTCAGTAGCAGCAGTGTATGTGTAAAGAATGAGGTGAAATCTTCATTGCTTTTTTTTCCCTCTGTTTTACTTTAGGGTTGATTGTGAAAGAAATCGGTTCTTCCACCTCCAGTTCCTCCGAAACAGTTGTCAAACTTCGTGGCCAGAGCACCGATTCTCTTCCACAGGTATGGAGGGAACTGAGCACTATAAATAGCAAGTCAGCGTGCAAATTTATCTAAAGAGGCAAAAATTAAAAATCCTGAGGAATGGATTCTTACCAGATACATGCATCACGGTTTCATTTTGAACTGACTTCCAGTTGATTTGCTGGTTCCATTTATCTTGGAATGGATTTGATTTTGGATAAATTATGCACCTGTGTCACACTCCAGGTGTCCAGACCTCAGGCTGACTGTGTGTGTGTGTGTGTGTGTGTGTGTGTGTGTGTGTGTGTGTGTGTGTGTGTTGATGGACCACAACAACGGGTTAGATGTGCTGGGTAGAGGTGTTGCTCCACACTAATTCTCCCGTTCAGAGTAAACTTTCAAAGTATACTATGGGAGGATATTTAATAACCTGCTCATACTAATGATAATCTAATCATACTCTAAAACTCACGGTGGCAGTATTTGGATAAAATGTACAACTCATATTGACCTCTATTTTCTGAGTACTTGCTATCTCTTTCTTGGGTTCTCTCTCTTTTTTTTTCTCTTCTGTGTATTTCTTTTATTTCTCCCCCCCACCCCACCCCTGCATTCTGGTAATTTCTGCCTATTGCCTTTTTCTCTTTTTTTTCTTATTTGCCCTTTATTTTTTCATTTATATAGTTATAATGTGAAATGACATTTTACACTTGATCTTAGCCAAAAGGCCAAGAAGCGATTGAAATGACATGTTATTAAATATTTTTCTGAGTCCAGCCAGTGTGGCTCAGTGTTTGAACATCAACCCATGAACCAGGAGGTCACAGTTTCATTCCCCGTCAGGGCACGTGCCTGCGTGGTGGGCTCAATCCCCAGTAGAGAGCATGTAGGAAGCACCCGATCAGTTATTCTCTCTCATCGTTGGTGTTTCTGTCTCTCTCTCTCCCTCTCTCTGAAATCAATGAAAACATATTTAAGAACAGATATTTTTCTGAAAGCTCTACTGCTTTTAAAGCAGTATGTGCCTCATGCTTAGGAGGAATGAACTCCAAGATCCCACTGCCTGGGTTTGCACCCTGCTGGGCCACTAACTGTTAGCTCTTATGGTACATACATGTTTGTGGGGCACCGCGAAGGATCAGAGTCCTTACCTACAAAGTGGGGAGAGCATTCCTGCGCCCGCCTTGAGGACATGTGGTAGTGACCTACAGAATTCTCCGCGTGAAAGCCCACGGGCGCCTGGGAGGACATGAGTACAAGGGATGGTCACCTCCAGGGAGTGCTCCAAGGTGACACTTTCTGGTAAAACATTTCTGGGCTCGGACCCTCTTCTCTCCTCCTGGTACTTTTGCCTCTGAATTCTCACAGCGATGTTGGCCTTTGTGGCGTCCCGCAGCATACGTGAGAGAGAACAACGCCTCATTTCCATTAATAACCCGTTTAGTATCTTCCATTTATGTAATTATCCGAGCCATTTTTCACACTATTTATGTGTTCAACCGGTGCCACCTCTTGGGATAATGAGCTCCAGGAGTCTGTGACCCGCTGCGTGGAGCCTTTGGCAGAACTCGGCCCCTTGGGGCGCTCAAGAGCTGCCTCTCCGTCCTGGCACCTGCCTCCCAGCCTTCCCTGCACCAGTTATTCTTCCTCCCCAAGAATTCTGGCTTTCACAGAAAAACGGTTCTCCAGTCTTTGTTCCTGGGGAAATAATTAATTTGTTTTTCCCTTTCCTATTAACATAATAACAGACCTCAGCATGAAAGCATTGGCACACCGCCCGCCGTATTCTAAAGAAACAGCCTTTTTACCTGTGCAGCCTTATTTTAAGGCAATTGCTGGACTTCTGAGATGCTCGAGAGAGTTGGGTTCCTGTTGCACTTACGTCTCTATGCCTTGGATTATTCAGTAGTAAAATTGGGGAGGAGAATAGCACCCGCCTCACAGGGCTCGGCTCATAGGAAGACTGAGTTGATAATACACGTAGTGTGTTTATATCAGGGCCCACCACCACCTACTAAAGGCTCAGGACACGTTAGCTGCTATTCCTGTTATTGGTGATGCTGATATTTTTTATTCTCAGGGGTTCTGGTGTTTCAGATTAGAAACCTCTTTGACATGCGGGGGGTTCCTTAATCCCGAGCCACATGGGACTCTTTGGCCCCTTGAGTGTGGCTCTTTCACAAAATACCACGGCCTGGGCGAGTCTATTTTGAAGAAGCGGCGTTAGAAGAAGCTTACATTTAAAAACTTTTGGCATCTCAAAAGAAATTTCAATCGTTGTCCTGTTGATATTTGGCTCTGTTGACTAATGAGTTTGCCGACCACTGCCTTAACTCCTTAAATAGTTTCGCAGCCTCTCTCTTTAAAACGGGGCAAATGCCGGTATTGCTAACCTTTCCCTTGAGCCTGTCCTCTTCAAGTTGTTTCAGACCTGCCTTGTTTTGCAGACGATATGTCGAAAACCAAAGACTTCCACGGACCGGCACAGCTTGAGCCTCGATGACATCAGGCTTTACCAGAAGGACTTCTTGCACATCGCCGGCCTGTGTCAGGACACTGCTCAGAGCTACACCTTCGGCTGCGGCCACGAACTGGACGAGGAAGGCCTCTACTGCAACAGCTGCCTGGCCCAGCAGTGCGTCAACATCCAGGACGCCTTCCCCGTCAAAAGAACCAGCAAATACTTTTCTCTGGACCTCACTCACGATGAAGTTCCAGAGTTTGTTGTATAAAGTACGTCTGCGTGCAGCTCTACGGCGGCCCGCTGTCCCCCGGGGGCCGTGAAAGCCATGAGTTCTCTCCTATTTCTCGTGCCATACGTCCCTCCCCCAGAACACAGCTCTCTCTTTACATTTGCAACGGAAACAAAGCCTCGGGACAACTGCACTTTAAGTATCACACAGACGTGAAAGAGAATGTACAGCAAGATAAGTGCCTGGAGTTCAGGATCCTTTGGGAGGAAATGTGCTTTGCTGGTTTACCACGCCTTCGGAACATTGAACCGTGGCGTGTTTGCTCACCGTTCTGTCCTTTTGGTTCCATCGCGCGGAATAGCATCATGGTTTTTATCATGGGGATGGTGTTAGGTGTGTGTGTGTGCCTGTACATTTTTTTTTTTTTTTTTTATCACTCCCTCATGAAATGCCCATGTTTTGAGGGAGGAGAAAAGAGTCTCCTTTTTTTCTGGAGAGACTGTGGCCTACCCCACACTCATCGCCGCCTCACTGGGGCTGTCCCAGCGTGAACACCGGCGAAGCAGTCAAGATCGGTGCGTCTAGCAAGCCAAAGAGATGTACCCGAAGGAAGTGCAGGCCGGGGAGGACCGGCCGGTGAGCGAAGCAGTAACTGAAGACTGACTGCGTGCTGCGTGTGGCGCCCGTGACTCCTCCATGCCCAGTGCCACATCCTCCCCCTGCCCTTCCAGAAAGGAATGGAGCAGCTGTGTTCATGTCACAATGTATTCTGTAGAGTTTCCAACTCTGTTTTCTGTTAAAACTACGAAAACGTCTTAGAAAATGTTCGTTGCTTAGTGTTTGTTTTTTTTTAAATAAACCAAGAACAAATTATGGGAATGCTAGTTTCTGCTTCACCAGAACTACCCTAACTCTCCCCAGATGTTAGTATACATAGATAAATACATGAGATGGTGTGTGTTTTTTATGTGCGTAAAGCTTCCGTGACTGTCTTAACGTTACGTGGCCGGTCTTACTGAACAGGGAGGATGCGTTGTTGAATGAATGATACCTACAGACAATCCGTTGACTCTTGTAGTTTAAAATGACTATTTCTCATGTGTCTTTTGCCGTGATCCTCAACCCTGGTTGCATAATAGAATTATTTGGAGAGGTTTTAAAAATATATATATATGCCTGGGTCCCACCTTCCGTGAATTCAGTTAGACCCAGGCGGACTGCCTTTTCCTGAAAAGTTCTCCAAATGGAGCCCGTATCAGCAGAGCTGAAAGCCACGGATCCAGAGGATGTCTTTTTAATGTTGACATAAAAGCATCCAGAATACGTTAGTGTTTAAGAAAGGGCCATTTCAAAGACAGTTTCTGCCACTGCCCTTAGGGGATAGAAGGAAACCGAGTCTGGGGAATGAACTCGTCAGCCTTCAGATGTAATGGCCTTGCTCGCTCTTTACGAGAGAACTTTAGCACAGTGTCTTTCTAGGAGATGTTTTTAATGATTTCCTATTTAAAGCATTTGTTTACCATATTTTGATATACCATTTTTCTACCTACCAGGTTTTATTAAAAAAAAAGAAAAAAAGAAGAAGAAGAAGAAGAAGCAGCGACACTATTATTTTTAAAGAAACAGTCATATTTTTATACAAAGTTAAGTTTTCAGGTAACAAAGATATAGACTTAGGAGACGGCAGAACACACAGTGTTACCCATGGATGGGGTCAGTATTACAGACACACACGGGCGCACACAAGCCTGGTCAAGTCAGTCTAACTTGACACTTCAAAAGAAAATGGAAAAATTCTGTAGTGTTCTATAGTCGTGGAATCATTGTACTTCTATTCAGTGTTTTTGAAAGAACCAAAGTTTCAGATAGCAGAATGTATAAAAGTATCTCAGCCTCTGTATAAAAGGGTGAAGGTGTAAAAAGATCATCTAGTGACTCTTTTTCTTAGACATCATCACGAATTCACCGTTTCCTGTGGATGCTGGAGGGACAGGTCCTGGGGAAGTTGGACTGGAAAGAGCCCCGGTCACTATGTGTTGTGTTTCCTCAGCTCTCGGTGTTTCTTGCAAAGATCAAGGAGAAAAAAAAACAAAAAACATAAATGTATTTACTAGGTAGTGCTTTTTACTTTATTTTCTCTCAGCTTCCAGCTGAGCCACGTCTTCAGGGTTCTGCCAGCACAGTTGGTGGTTTTGCACACCTTCTTTCTAATTGGATTGATGCATCGCCTTGTGGGTTTTCAAGAATGAAACATGCTGAGGACACTTTTGTTTTGTGATCCACTGTTTGCAGCAGAATTATATATATATGTGTATATGGAAATCCATTTTGAATACCTACATTTTTGTATTTGGAAATTGTTTTGTTTTTTGTTTTTTGTTTTTTAAAAAGTATAAAGCTGTTATTTATTCCGCATTTGTTAATGTCCATTGCTGAGTTCGTGTACCGATTTGGTATGCACTGCTTCTGCATTTGTATTTGCAACAGTGAGCTTTCTATCTGCACAAATTGTAAAGAATCCTTTCTGTGAAAGGATCGACATAGCGGGATGATACCAAAAGAGTGTAAAAAAACAAACTGCATTATTTTGTAATTATTCTTTTAGGCATTTCATGGTAAGATCAACAGTCAATAAAGTTACTTTTTATTTGTCTTTGGGTGATTTTCTTGTTGTTTTTAGTTCTCAACTGAACAAGAGGTGTTTGAGATTGAATGTTTTCTCTGTGTCTTCCTTCCTGTGACAGAGCATGTTACAGGACATCCTCAGGTTCCCGCGAGATAGATGCTGAGCCCTGCCTGTGCCTGGCCTGCTCCGCCTGTGCTGGAAGTGCACTTGTTAGCGTGTAGTCCTCGTGTTCGCAGGAGGCAGGTACTATCCTTGTTCTTAAGTTAGCGGTGAAGCAACCAAGGCTCCAAGCGGTGGAGTCCAGTCAGAGAGGCTGGGACAGCCACTATTCAGTTCCAAATTATGGGGCTGAAAAAAACTCTTCTTTAAATATATATTTTTTATTTTTTTTAAATTAACTACTATAACTATTGCCCTTAAAACAATCATCATTGAAGTGTTAGTTTTAACTTCAAAAAGCTTAGTGGTTGTATTTACCTGTTTATTTCTAAAATATGTTTTTATTGGCTTTAGAGAGGAAAGGAGAGGGAGATAGGAATATTGAGAGAGAAGAATTAACATCAATTGGTTGCCTCCTGCATGACCCTACTGGGGATTGAGCTTGCAAACGTGCCCTGATAGGAATCGAACCACAGGCAACACACGACATTTATTGATTATCAGAGGGGGGTTTAAGGTCAAAAGGCGTTTCTGGTGTGCCCAGGTCCTATTCATAGAGACCTGGGTAAATTCCTCATTTTTTGGTAAAGGACGAGATTTAGCATATCAAGACCTGGGTAAGTCAAGGTCCTATTCGTTCCTCATTCCAAGCACAGGGATAAAGTTAAGAAATCGTACTGATAACAGTCTTTTGGGAGGCCGTTTCCAGAGGTGGCCATGCCTCTGACTCAGCTGACATTAATTTAAAGGTCATCCATGTGCATTTCTAAGGGGCCCTCTACACTAGTGCAGTGTTATGAATTTTGCAGAGTATTTGGTAAATTGTTAAGTAAATTGGAGGCAAGGGGTGGGGGGAATAGCTGTTTGCCTACTATGTCTGATATTACACACATCATGACTAATCCTCACAACCCTTTGAGGAGGTGTCACTCCCAATTTGTAGCTGAGGAAACTCTTAAAATTGTCCAAAATCCTACAGCTAGTAAATGATAGAGCAGAGTTTTTAACCCAAACTTGTCTCCAAAAGCTTTGCTTTTTATATTACGTACCATGTTACCCACCGCTCTAGAGAAAACTTTTAATCTAATGGGGAAGATAGACTTAAAATTTTGTGATAAATGAAATGTCTACGTGCACATTTTTTTTTTTTTTTTTAGCACCCACTCACTCTGGCAGACACTCAAAGTTTATATAGGTATTAGCATAAGGCCGTGAAGATGTAGGGCATGGGAACAGGAATGGGAGGATCTTGGAAGAAGAGCATTGAACGGGGACTCTGGCAGGATGGGGTAAGGTACCAGCTATCCAGGCAAAGGCTCAGAAGCTGACCACAACTGCTCATTAAGGGACCTGCGAGGACCCACAAGGGACCTGTAACTCAATGAGACTCTCTCCAGCCTCATCATGAAAGGCCTTGTGCCCACAGATGAGAATACAGATTTTTCTGGACGGGAGGATCTGTTGAAGAGGGTGTGAGAGGAAAGATGTGTCTGGGGCTTAAGAGACATACTGGGAGCAGTGCTAGCCAAAAGCGGGGGGGGGGGGGGGGGGGGGGACAGCAAGACGAGAGAGATGATGAAGACCTGAACTAAGCATATGGCAACAGGGAAAAAAAAGGGGGACAATTCAAGAGCTATATAGGAAGCAGAATTACAGGACTACCACATACACACACACACACACACTCAATTGTTAACCTCCTAAGCTAAATATTAGAGACATAGACAAGCAGTTTTACCATACTTGGAAATGTATGTCCTTGGGAAGATTAAGAGTTAGTCACTGCTTTAAAGCACAAACTAAAATCTACCTACATGAATACTTTGAATATTGGCATAATAACTACCACCGCTCTAGTCTAGCAGTGGTCCTCAACCCTGGCTGTACATTAGAATGACAGGAGAGCATAAACAGCACTGCCTGGGGCCTAGAACAGAGCTTCTGGTTTATTTGGTCTGGGATGGGCATGGCACTATAGAAGTGTTGCAGGTGATGCCAATATGCCCCAGGGTTGCAAACCATTGGCCATAGGTGCACCCAAGCAATACAGGTTATCTGACCTAGCATGATGCATACTTGGGATGGAATGTGTCTCCAGAGCATCTGAGTACATTGCATTTTGTGGGACTAATGTTGTTTTTTTCCTCCAATATGTCTGTCAGAGAGTGGATCAGTGTTTAAGTGAGGCACTAAGCTCACTGGTTTAAAGAAGTCCAAATACACCCTCATGTTAGAGACTTGGGTGTTACATACATATGATTGTTTAGAGGAGTAAAAAGGGAGGGGTGCTAGGTGACTATAGTCAACTGCTTTAAAATCTCCCTGTCACTTTTATTTGCCTCTTCATTGCTCTGATGCTTCATACAAGTTCATCCTTCATTATACAAGGTATGATGAAAATAAGCTATATTTCACCCGGCCCTTGATTCTTAAGAGCTGTATTTTGAATTAAGGGAGGAGCCTGACCTCTGAAAAGTTCTGCTCAGAAAGCTTGAGCCATTGTAGATGATGGACTTACATATGCTCAAGAGATGAACTGGCTGGCATGTACACATAAGAACTATCTGGCATTGAAATTGGGACGCAAAAGAACTGTTGGCCCCGAAAGGAACTCACTACAGACTGATTCATTTGCCTCTCAGCATAACCATTATGGCTTGTTGCAGTTTAAGTTCTTATAAGGGTATTTCTTGGATCACATGTTCTCACATATCTAGAGGAAATAATGAACAACACAAACAGACCCAGAGAAAGAGAACCAGCGATCAGACTCTCAAACCTCAGGGGGAAAGTAAGGGAGGATGGGGGTAAGGGGAAGAGTTCAACCAAAGGACTTGTGTGCATACGTATAGGCCTAGCCAGTGGCCATGGACAATGGGGAGGGAGGGGGGAAAGGGGGGGATAAAAAACAAAACATAAAAAAGATTAATTGAAGATCTATACACATGGCACAGCTGTAAGTAACCAACTCATTACCTAGGATGTGTGCTTACCCATCTGGTGTGGACTGTAGCAGTTAAGGTATCTTCAGTTTATTACTGTCCTTATAACAAGAGATGGATTTCAATCAGTGCTTGCTGGACACACTGATTTTGGCTGCTTTGCCAGTGTTCACATTGTGACAGCCCCAGTGAGGCAGCAATGGGTGTGGATGAGGCCCAGGTCTCTCCAGAAGAAAAAGAGAATTTTTTTTCTCTTCTTGAAAAACATGGGCATTTCATAAGGGAGTGGAAAAAAATAGAGAGAGAGAGAGAGTTCCCGACGTAGGAAGGGCTTATGTTCCAAGTTTGCTTCTAAATTTGCTGTCTGATATCTAGAACACACATCCCCAACTTCTCTAACTAGCTCACAAATGCCTGTTTGTCCCAGAGGGATTATGAGAGATCATGCTTTCTGTGCATCAGTAACCATCTCTTAAAGAAGCGACCCAGAGAATAAATAAGATCGGTGGAAGTACCCCACGACCAGACAGAGATGAAGGCACCCCCAATAGACCAGTAGTTCAACCTTTGGGGTTTACTTCTCAAAGTTCATCCATGCCCATCTACAAATAACAGTAGAGAAAAGCCTCAGGCAAGCCATGCCAAAATGAAAAGGCTCCATGTCAATTGCTATCACTGTGGGGTTCTAAGATGGCTGCTCCTCATGTTTTCTAGTCCAGACTCCAGACCCTAGTCCGAAGCTTGAAGCCCTGCCCTGCCATCATGAAAGTGATCAGCAGATCTGGTAACAGGTCCCTTCTGATCTGCAGGTGGAGGAAGAAGGGGGTCTAGGATCCACATGATTAAGCAGAAGCCAGGTTCTCCTTTCATGACACCACGTTGCTGCTGCTTCAGGGTCTAAAAAAGATGCTATCAGAGCGAAGTATACTGGGGCCTTTAAATGCGACACCAGTATGAATGGGGAAGGTCATAACACTCACCGGAGAAAGTAAAAAGAAGAACCAAGTAAATTGAAGTACCATGTTCCTAGAAGAAAAACTCAATAATGTAAATGTCACATTTCCCCATTAATTCTAATTAAGAACCCAAATGAAACATTTTAACAAGGATGGAGTAATAGAGGCCAGTTTTAACCTCTTACCTCACAACAAAATGTATGCTGTATGTTAAATGTCTTTTAGACACTTCACAATAGGCAATGCAGCAGAGTAAGCTCCATAAAGAGAGGAGCAAGATGGGCATCATCGTTGTCCTAGCTTACTGTCTGGAGAGGCTGCAGGGCATAATGAAGGAAGAGGAACCCAAATGGACCCCAGTGGTCTCCTTGAATTGAGATGCAGAGGGGAGAATTCAGGGAGACCAATGTAATGAGTTCACAAGGCGGTGTACGAGAGAGAGAGAGAGAGAGAGAGAGAGAGAGAGAGAGAGAGAGAGAGAGAGAGAGAGAGAGAGAGAGAACTGTGCAAAGCAGGAGGGAGCGGGAGAGGAGAAACAGAGAGAGCACACATAGGTTCTTCTCAAGTCCGTGGCTGAGTGCTGATCAGCATACATATGTGAGGAAAGCATTTGGAGCTAGGGAGAGAACTATGAGGAAGGAGCAAAACAATCCCTGGAGCTCACATAGGGCCAGAAATTGTTTGTGTTTCCACCAGCTAGAGTGAAAAAAACCTTGCACTCTGTGGGCATCTTATGAAGTTCTCAGAAGGGCATTTTCCAAGACTGACAGTTGCACTGGTCCTGCCTAACAAAGCTGAAAAAGCAAGCCTTTTTTAATATTGAAAGAAAAGTGCTGTTAACTTAAAATTAATTTTATACCAAAAAATTAATTTTATACCCAGCAAAAATCGCTTTCCAAA